CACGCCTCCCGCGCCCACGGGTGGTCGGGGTAGGTGCGAGTGCGGGGGGAACGCAGGGTCGGCGTCGTGCCGTGGCAGTGCGTGGCCTCACCTCTGTCAGCGAGGCAGAGGGAGGAGAACATCTCCAAAGCTTGCTAATAAAATATTCGCGCCTCCCGGTACTGTGCTTTTTATTTCACCGTGGCGGCCCGGGATCAGTTCTGCTCCAAGGGAAATTCGTGGCTTGGTCCAGCACAGGCCACACCACACCTTGACCGCTGCCAGGTCTCCTTTGGGCCTCCACAAACCCTCTGAGAAACCAGTGACCTCGCTCTCTGGGTCCCAGCTTACAGGCAAGGGCGGCAAAGAATTTCAGGTGCGAGAGAGCCATTCCTCGGGCTGCGGATCCGAGGCTTTGGATGGACGTCAGATACGGATACAGGTGTGGGTATCGGTGTGGGCACCTGAATTTGGAAATATGTCTTGCTGTGGCTGCTGCCCATTTCTATATCGCAGCTAAAAATGCGAAGGCAGAAAGATGTTCCCAGATGCTGCGTAAAATCCTCGCATCGAGTTGAAGCGGCAGTCGTATTTTTACTAGAATTGAGGTTAGGCCTTTTTTATACGCTGCAGGGGACAGAGATGGCCGAAGGAGGAGGAGGAGGAGGAGGGCCTGAGACGGTTGGAAGAAGACCTCATCCAGAGGAATGGGGTTTCCAGAGAAACCAGAGCCCATCCTGCACGCTTTCTCACTGGGAGCTTCGCGGCTTGCGTTAACGCAGGTCCCGCTGTGCAGACGAGTTGTGGCGCTGGGGATAACGCGGAGTCTTCCTCACAAGCAGGGAAAACCCCGAGGAAACCAGCCCGCCTCTTCGTTTCTCCATCCCAAAACCTCCACGCCTGCAAAGTGGCCGCAGCGCCAGCGCCGAAGGAATGGCAGAATTGGAGGGGAAAGATCGATTCCTCTAGAATTTGCTTGACTTTTTCAGCCCAAACACTGAAATACGGTGAGTTCCGCTGCTGACTCACAGTTGACCACGCACAAAGCCCACGGATACGGAGTTTTTTCAGGATTTGTGGCCAGGTGCTGCCTGGCTTCTGCACCCACCGTGCCGAGGCAGGAGCAGTTCTGTGCGCAACGAGGGGAGCGGTGTTCGGACCTTTTTTAAAAAGCAGTGTTTGACAGGAAGTCTCTTTTTTTCTTGAATAAAATACGCTGCAGTATAATTTTTTTATGTCCCTCTCAATAGGAAATATTAGCACATTTTTTAGTGTTCTCCTTTAATATTGCATTATTACTGAATCACAGAATCCCAGCATGGCAGGGGTTGGCAGGGCCCTCTGTGGGTCACCCAGCCCAACCCCCTGCCCAAGCAGGGTCACCCAGGGCAGGCTGCACAGCACCGCGTCCAGGCAGGGATGGAATATCTCCAGAGAAGGAGACTCCACAGCCTCCCTGGGCAGCCTGGGCCAGGGCTCCGTCACCCTCAGAGGGAAGAAGTTCTTCCTCGTGTTCAGCTGGAGCTTCCTCTGCTTCAGTTTGTGCCCATTGCCCCTTGTCCTGTCGCTGGGCACCACTGGAAAGAGTCTGGCCCCGTCATCCTGACACCCACCCTTCAGTCCAGCACAGGGCTATGAGGATGATGAGGGGACTGGAGCATCTCTCCTATGAGAAAAGGTTGAGGGAGCTGGGCTTTTTCAGCCTGGAGAAGGCTGAGAGGTGACCTTAGAAATGCTTATAAATATCTGCAGGGCAACCAGTAATGGATCAGCTGTTTCATTTACAGCTCTGGAAGGTTTTAAATCAGGGTTTGGGCAAGGAGGTAACATGACACAAACACAAGCAGGGTAGAAGTACTTTTGATCTTACTTTGCTCTTGCCAATACGCAAATCTTGTCTGAATACAGCAGGACTGGCGCAGCAAGGCATGTACGCCAAGTTTGCTGCAGCGTGTTCTAAACACACCCAAAACATCTGTATCCTCCTCCCATTTCTTTTTACTTAGTAGATGTCTTTAAAAGAACTGTCGAAAACGACTGAAAACAGGCAGACAAATGCAGTGCGGAACTTAACAACACCTAAACTAGCACAGAAATATGTTGGACTCAACAGCCAGCACTTCTCTTGAAATGGCAGCTCTGCCATGTAAAAACCCTGCAAGAATCCCAGGCAAGACATAGAAGAACGTCTTCTTCTCGGAATATTTTGAAATTTATATTTCCTACCCAAGGCGGGAATTGCACCAGGTTACCTGCATATTGGAGCCTGGTGAAAATAAAGAACTAACAGTGCTTTTCCAAAATATTTTTCTTTGTTTTTTATTCTTTGTTTTCCTATTGAACACAAACACGTTCAGCACAGCGTGTAGTTCAGGACTGGACGTGCATGGAAAAAGACAGATCTAATCAGCAATGAATACCTTAAGGTGTTTATTGTGCCTTGGCTAGGAACTAACAACCTTTCCCATCACCTGCTCATCAACACCAAGACACAGAGACCCAGCCAGAAGCGCTGAGGTACGCGTTCTGTGAACGACATCGACATCAACCTGAAGGGCGGGTGGTCTAGGACAGCACCTCTGCTAGCGTGGCATCCTCTCCCTCGTTTGCTCTCGGTCTTCGCAATGGTTAATTGCTGCACCAGGCATTGGTAAGCAGCCGAGTGAATCTGCTGCCTCTGTTGCGCTTCCAACGGGCCCAGGAATGAAAGAGCAAGATCGAGCTGAGGCCCCGAACTTTGTATCACCACCAGACTGGTCTTCAAAAAGTGCTTACGCTGCATCACAAATCTGAGTCAGGCTTCATCAATTTAACATTAAAGACTTGCCATTAGTGATATTTTTGGGTTCGTTCTGGAACTAGTAAGTGCTCTCTGCAAGTCAATAGAAGGTGAAGGTGTTTGCTTTGCCACATGCCAGGACACCAGAGCACTGCAGAGCTTCAGATGAGCCGCATCAAAATCGCTGCTTTATTCTGCAGTCAGGTGAATCAGTGGAGATCACCTAATGCATCATCTGTGACGTACATTTAAAAAACCCCACCCACTTTTATTCGTTTTTATTAAGAAATTTATGAACTATGTAAAAAGTGTCAAATAGTGGTTTACAAAAGAGAAGAAATTTGCCATATATACAGCTATTTAACATTTCGATAGTGCCATTTGAAAGATACATATTATACAACGTCAGTTATGAATAACCGGCCCACCTATTTACAATGCAAAGGGCTTCTGCAAAGAACATCTAACAAACGCAGCCCCTTTCAGATGTAAAACAAAGAAAACGATATCTTGATGAAGTTACACAAATGTAAACCCAGCATTTTCAAATGAGGTGCTCAGGGCAGAACAACATGCGTGGAAAGCTCTTTCTTATTTTAAACAAATATGATATTTTAAGCTCAAGGAAGCTCTCGATATCATTGTCAATACATGTTAGATGCTACAAAACCAACCAACAATGCTGTTTGTTACTTCAAACAACATTTAAAGCACATTCCATAGTATTTTAAACAGTTTACATTATCTCAGAAAATACCCTTGCTTGCTAAATAGTTTGCTACAATGACAAAAAAACTGAGTTGCTGAAGTAATCTGAAATCTTCTACTAACGAACTTGCTAGTATGTATGTACTGGCAGAAATATGTATTACCGTAACTGTGAGTGAAATCTTCTTTTGTATGTCATAGGTGAAAGCTCCTTTTTTAATTTTCAACACATACGGTTTGCTAAATTTGTTTTAGGGCAATTTAGACAAGTCTTTTCAGAGGTCCCTGAGGTTGCAGAAGTAACCAAACAACTTAACTAGGTGCTTAAACAGAGAAATCGGTACTTAATTAGAGGCAATCAAGGTTAAATAATTTTAATGGCAATGAAAATTCAAAAGCCACTAACGGAAAGACAGTTGATTTCCCTTTTTTCTCATACAGGTATTATGAACTACAGTGTAGCTACTCACTGGAGCAAGGACATCAGAACATAAACCCAGCTCAAAATGAGACTGTAGTAAATAAATAATTCTGCCTTTCCCTCAACAATTAACAAGACCTACACGAATTCTCATTCCTGCGCCCCGCAAAATGTTTGCTGCGGGGTTGTTTTTTGTGTTTGTCAAAACATGCCAGTACGAAATATTCCAGAAGCACTTCTTCAGGTGACCAAAAGCACAGTTATTGCTGTACAGTGACACTAGCTCTCACTGCAGGACTGGCTGCTGCTCGTTCTCTTTCTTTAGCAATTTCCATCTCTATTTTGGCTTTAATCTTATTCCAATCAACTTCCAGCTGTAAAAACAGAAAAGCGAGTACGCAGAGGTCAGTAACATTGTATAGAGAGGTCAAGCAGATAGCTATTCAACAACAGGACAATTCCAAGTTACAATTACAAAGTGACCGTGTCAGTCGTTACACAGTTCTTCACGTGTAACTGACGACTTACACCAGTGGGACGTACGAAGGCACAGCTCAGTTCTAACAAACGGACCTTTCCATCTTCATTTGAATTTAATGACATCTGTGTCCAGTTCCTGAGAATCTAGCCCTTTATCAATAATACGTTGCAGGGATGTCTTTCGACTGCACCCAAAGTCCAGCAAGTAAACTGACAGCATATTACACTGGTTAGCTGATGTAACAGAAATCAGACTTCTGCTTGAAATTTGTTTTCGACGTCGATAAATGTTTTAGCTTTATCTTGGCATTTCTCCAGCTGCAGAGAATCATCATATTCTGACTGTGCTCTGTTTCAGTGAAACTTCAGACAACAGGTACAGTACAATATCCGCAGTACAGCGGGGTACAATAGTTGTCTGTCTTTCCAAAAATGCTTGACAAGAAAGAATGGATCACAGTGCACCTGACGACTATAAAAACTGGGCAAAAATGCAACTGTGAAGTTCAGTTTCACTGCTGGAGAATTAACACTGTCAAAGAGGGACCGGGAAAAAAATCTCAACTGCTGCAGAGGGAATTTTCAGAGTAGCTCTTACTCTGTTAACTAAGCCATGAAATAACAAGGGAGTTTCTCTGCGAGGGAAGATGCAACTGCAGTACCCACATTCTCAGGTGCAAAGGTTAATCCCTCAATTCAGGATGCACTTACTGGGACCAGGTGCTTTGGATCTGATGACTGAAATCTTTATGCAGCTCTAAGAAAGAATGTGTTGGCTTTAACAGCTGTCATACAGATGCTAAGCACACCACGGCTAGGGCTAGTTCTACCATCTAGCCCAGCACGCTACTTGCCAGGGAAGCCAACCACCCTTGCCAGTGACACCTAGGAACTGCCAAGATGTGGATTCTCAGGATACATATTAGGTTCATAATACCTTCTATATAAAGATGTGAGATACAACAACTAAGCACATTGTTTAGATTCCGTATCTGACTGCAGATCAGTGCTCTCAGATGGACTACAGAAAAGAGGCAAAAAGCTGAAGCCTGAAGGTGGTGAGAGGGAAGCCAAGACCCTTTTTTTTTTTCTGTGACAAGGAACAGCAGCACATAATCTTGCTTTTCTCTTCAACGTGCTTAACATTTCCATCTAACTTTGCTATAGGAGTCTAACAGGCTGCATTAAGAATTTAGTTACCACCGTAGCCAACAGCTTAAAACCCACTTCATTCAGCAGGTTCCCTCCTAGTTTCAGATCCACCAGACAAGACCTCTAAAACACGGACATGGACGTGGAACACAGCTCAAGGACTTCTTTACTCCAGGAACCTTCTCCAGTCTGAGACCGAAGTTTCAGGATTGAGTGTAAGGTGAAACAGGCTCTTTTTGCGCTACTCTGCTCACATTTTGTCACTGACAAGGTGTTATTGCTTAGGAATCCTTCCAGAAACTACAGCTTTCTTGATGATTTAAAGACAAGACAGTATTATCTAAAGAGTTTCTTTCAGAAGCATCAGGGGATTAACATGATTTTTGCTCCATAATGGATTGAAAGTACGCAGGAGCCATACTTCCAGCACAGCAGCTGAAATTGCTTGCATGGTAAGAGTGCTTGGAATCTGTTCTGTTATTTTTCTGTATTTCCTAGGCAAAGTACTGCAGAATGGTTCACTGGGGGGCTGGATATTGTGCAGATTTTTATTCTTGTTTAGGAAATGAAACATGCTTTCTAGAAGCGCTAAAAGCTAATGACTTACATTAGAAATTGAGCTTTATTGGAAGTGTAATGGGCACCGTCCAATTAAGGGATCGGAGCTAACAGCTCGGATGTATTTCCTGAGCTACACTGGATGAAAGGCCCTGACACAGTCGAAGTACACATCTCTTTTCACCCTCAAAATGCTTAGGAATAGTGAGGGGAAGAGCAGGAAGGCCGTAAGGGCTGCCTACGGTGCACATGTGGGTGCCTCTCATAAAGGAAACACGCAGAAATACTCCAGTGGAATCTAAGGTACTTCTAGCTTAGCAACTGTAAGATCTGTCCTCAGTCTTTAAGATCTGAGAAATGCTAATAAATTGAAATGACCTGCTGTTGATGGAGAGGGTTTCCAGAGGTCTGAAGAAATTGGGTATTTAGCTATTTCTCACATTTGGTAGAATGGTTCATAGTTCAGTCTTAAATCTATTTGGATACGTTCGAGTTTTGTTATGGCTGCTATCCATAAAATCACATCAAAAATGCTGACGACATTTAAGAGGTACACATTCAACCACACTAAGGTCTAGCTCCCTGTTTACCAAAAACAACTGTGCCTTCATCTGTGTAATCCTTCCAGATATTAAATATATATATACATTCTGTATCTGTGCCTTCAAATAAAGCACATGCACAACTATCACCAGCCAAGCAGCCACACGCCAAGCTATGAACTTGTAGTCAGATGCAAAATCTTTAGATTTTACACATTTGAACCGAAGATGGAAAACGTGAGCGCAATCCCGCCCCCCACGCTCCCAAACTGGCTACAGAGAGCAGGGTGACCTCAAGCCGTAGGAATAATTCTGAGGAATACTTACACCTTCCGCATATTGCAGAAATCTTTTGTTTGTTTCTTTTTTACCAAAGACCGCTAGGAACTTTTGTCGATAAGCCAGGACTGTGTCAACATGTGTCTTGTGCTTTACTGCTAGTTCTAGGGCCCTGGAATAAAACAGAAATGGGCTTGTCAGGCTATGCAAATGCTCTGGCACAACTACAATCACCATGGTTTTGCAAAATGATACGCTGAAAAGCGTTTGGGCTGCAGGCAAAGTTTCTTAATCTACAGTGCCAAGCAGTTTTACATTAGTATCAATCACAGGAGGTTAAAAGTAGTCAGCGAAGGAGACTGTCTACTTTACGATGCATGCAATGAAAAATATCCAACAACCATTTCTGTTGACAACCTCATCGTATCATCAGAGTTTGACAACAGGAGTCTCTTTACTTCAAGGAAATCAAACAGAATGGTTAGAGTTTAGCACTCTCAATATAAAGGGACAAAAGTAATAATTTTTAATAACTTTACTGTAGTCCGGAACCGCTTCTGAGTGGTGTCATAACACACATTTCTCATGTATGCTACACAGCATTTACGAATATTCCGTAGGCAGGAACGATTAGTCATTGGATTAGTATAATTGGTTATTCTCACATCTGCTTTCTCCTCAATGGCATATGGAATACTTACGTTTGGTATACACAGTTTTCAGATGATATATTTGGGGCAACATAATAAAAAACCCACAGATATGTAGGGGAAAACCAACTTTTTGCCCACAGTGGTATGAATACAATAGCAGATAAATTAGTAGTAAACGGCCTCAGAAGATTCTATTTTGTTTAAAGGAGAAATTCCTACTTTGTTTTCTCAGGTCTAATTCATATTTCACCCACCTACACAGTGCTGGGAGTCTGAATAGCCACATCTCTATTTTTAGCAACAAGACATTTCAAAACAGCCTTAATTCTTTGAGGGTCACATACAGTTCAAGGTATCACTAAGGACTTCTCTGTGTTAGCAATAATGAAAAAGCAAGATGTTATTTTAAAAAGCTTCCAAGCATGTTTTGGACTTCTATCACAGAATACTTGTAGCTTCTAAATATGGCAGAAAAAAAGTTACTTTGTTGGTTATTGCCAGGATGTGATTTACTTCATCTTTTTACGGCTCAGGGAAATTACAGATAGGAAATTAGTCAGCTAATTATCTGCAATAAAACAACCGATCTAAATAACGTGCAGGTTACCTCAATAAGACTGCTTATAAACGTGCTGTGTTTAAACAAATCCTACCTATCCCAGTTGTAAAGATTAATGTTGACTTGAATAGCTTGATAGATCAGCCCAGCTTGAAGCAGCAGGGTTTCAGCTTCTTGGGTGTTTCCACTGAACAGCAGGATATGAGCCATCCTTGACTCTTTTGATGGCAGATCTTTGATGGAATTGATATACTGAACTTTGTCAATCTGTTAACGAGACGTACAACAATTTAATCATGGAAATTCATCAATAAAATTAGTTTTGTAACAATTTAACTGGAAATAAAGAACTCCATTTTCTCACCTCACCAACTGATGCATAGGCAATTTCTGCCGTAGCCATGTCCTTGTTGGCAACCGCCATAGCAGCTAAACACGCCCACATAGTTTGATCCTGAAATTTTAAAAAAATACAACTCCTAAAACTTCAAATATTTACTATCATGCTAAAAATGGAAGTATACAAGTACTGAAAATAATGTGTAACAATATAACATATCTCAGTATGCCACTCATGGCACCGTGGTCTAAGTCCCTTAATAGAAAGTCACTACTTCATTATTTCTCCGAATTCCTTCATTACAAAAACTCAAATTTTGACCCGGCTTATCTCAACCTGGCTTCACAAATAACAGTACTGGAACTGTGATGCTGACAATAACAATAACTGTACATTTATCACAAATGTACTACAAATGAAAGGAAAAAAATTACTTGACTGTAGAACAGATGACGAACCTGCTGAAAAGTAAGTAAGAGCTTCAAAAGTTTGTCATATTTTCGGTACATTTTATGTTTAGAATTAAGAATTAGAAAAACACAGTGGTAATAATAGTATTACACCTTTGTTTTCTATTTTCCTGACTTTTGTATTTACCTTAAGGAAACCCCACTAACTCAGAAAAACATTTAGGAAAATGCCGACATTTTGGTATCCTCCCTTTTCAAGTCTGACTACATTATGATAAAGATATACTATTAAAACTTATTAGTTAATATAGTTTAGGCTACCACATCTGAAAACTCTAGTTCAGATAGGAAAAATACAATTTTGAATGCACTTCTCAGTCCACATGCACTCTAGGAATTAAGTGGGGTTTAATATTTTTGTTAAGTATGTTCAATAACAAATCTGAAAATAAACACTTTGCAATGAGAATAGGTTGTTAGAAGCAGCGAAGGATTACTATTGATTTAAGTCGGAATAAACAGCTACACTGAATCTGCTCTAAACATATTCCCATGCCCTGTCTTACAATTGCTTCTGTATGAAACAAAACTGGTAAGCCCCACTAAAGCCAATGAAATACTTTAATTTAGCCTAAGGCTACGGTTTCACTGTCCCCATCTCCGCACTTGCCCACGTGTTCCTGCTCTTCACCACAGTTCAGGACAAGAGTCACCCTCCTGCTGGTAGCCCACAGTTTGCGAGAATTAAAGTCATTCAGGGAATGAAATGCTCATCAAATCTTTTGTCATGTGCTCTTCCCTCTTCCCTATTATTTACAAAATTAAGCGATAAAATGCTGAAAGCTCAGCCTCTATGCAAAGAGCCATGTTTCTAGGAGTTCTTCACCAATGGGTCTTGCTGTTCTCTCTTTCCTCAGAAAAGACGGTCCATTTTCTTACTACTGATGGGAAATACTTTTAACTGTCTACTTGGGTTGCCAAAATCAACAGAGCAGCCCCGTAGTGCCAGGAAGAGTTTAGGAATGCTGAAGGAGAAACAGAGTGCTCAACCCAAGCCCAGCTGTGAGGGCTCTCCACCTTGCTGCAAGGGTGTTCCAGGTCAGCCCCCAGCCCAACTACCACAGACGGTGCAACAGAAGGGATATCCACAGCGTCTAGTTCAGGCGGGGTTAGATTACCTTACAACAAAGGCAAAAAACCTTTTTTTATAATCAGCGGAAAGGAGAAGTCTTCAAAGACTGAGACCGGGGTACCTAACTTCGATGCTTAAAACCAGATGATGTGAATGCTCTTCACACTGGAAAGAAAGATTCTGTTCCAGTTTTTCTTGAGAGAAAGGCCTTCCTCATTTGTTGACAGATATGGACTAATGAGGAAAAGCTCATAAAAAAAAGACAGTGAAAAAACGTGATACCTATATTGGGATTTCAATTTAAAAGGACAGAAAATTTTAAACATTTCTCCTTTTAAATATGGTTAAACTCTTTGGATGACTCTGTGAATAAGAATGAAGAGGATGCATGACAAGTTTGGCAAAAAAAAAAAAATCCTTGAATTAGAAAACCTTCATATTAATCAGAAATAAATAATCTTTTGCATATTACCACCTGCTACATATGTTTTATTTTTGAAGATGATGCATTTAGATTACTCAAAAAAGTTCACGTAATACTGCATTTGAAATTTGAAATCCCAGTTCCCGCTGCCAAATACTGGAATAAAAGCCTACTCTTAAAGGGGTAACACTGAAAACAAAAATAGTTATGCAACTCAAATTATCTGGATGTGTACTGATTTAAGAACGCAGATGCAAAAATATTTTAAATACACATTTAAGGTCATGATCATCATATGAAAATGCTAAACTCTTTTCTAGGAGTAAATGGGGGAAAGGAAGCAGGGTTTGGGGGGATTTTTGTTTGCCTGTTTTGAAGACTGCCAGACTCACCTCATCTGTTGCTGTTGCCTAAATACATACAAAGGAAAGCAAAGGGAAAAAAAACAAACAAAACCAAGTGAAATAAAATACGAGAAAATACTAAGTTTTTAATTGGTTATATTAAGGCCTAGTCCTGAAAACTTAATAATCGGCAACAAAGCAGAATAATGGAAATAGAGATGTAACATCTGATACGCAATCATCATTATTAAAGTAATACTTGAAAACATAAATATTACAGTGAAATTATATCTGGACGTTCCCGACAATTAGCATTTACCTTGACAAAGCGACACAATCTGACAGCATCTTCCCATTTAGAACTACTAACATATTCATGAAGAATCGCAGGATAAGGTGAAATATTAAGGTGAATAAGTGAACCATCTGCTCTTCTAATTGTTACTTGATTTCCTACAAAATGTACAATCTGGGGATTTTTGCTAAATTCACTGGGTAGAGAATGAAAAGTAAGTTAATTTTCACTTCTTTCTTACCAAAAAGAACATTAAGAATTTAAAGAAATCTTAGCTTCAAAATTACAACATTATTATACTTCATTTTCAGAACATATAAAAATCTCAGCACCTAGTTATTCAACAGTTATATCCAACAGGTAGTAGTAATGTTCTCTAAAAATAAAACGATAGTTATGCACATTCACCGCATGTAAGGCAAATGCAAAACAGGTATTTGTGCAAAATTTTTCAGATGCATTTTTCAGTAAAAAGCATTTCAACTCATAACTCTCAAATTAAATAAAGAATTCAGGTGTTCTTTATGAAGAATTTCGTATCACCAAGTACACAGGCTGAAGTAAACAGGTAAACAAGCTGAGCTAGAAATAGTATTACCCGTGACCTAGTATCTTGACACTTTTAATTTCCAAGAGGTCCTTTTAAAAGATCATCTTTTTTTGTTTATTTTTTACAGACAACTAAGGCAGTATTTCATGAGGTAGGATTAAAATTTTCCTTTTGCATCAAGACGCTATTCTACATTTAAATCGCACATTGTCATTTCAACTCCAAACTTTATGATACACCTTATAAAACATCTTTTCCTCACTTCCTAATTAAGAAGTAGTAACATGAAAACAGGTTTAAAAGTTGCAACCCTGGCTTCTACCTCAACTGCCAAAGTTAATGTAATTCCTTAAGGAATGAGTAAACTAGTTAAAATACATAATACTAATATTTTGATCAAAAAGGATATATTACCTTGCATCTTTTTCGTACAGAGTTTTTGGCAAAAGATCTTTATCTACATAGACCGTGTTGGGGTAGTACCAGGCTGTAAAACGGCTATCTTGAATCCCACAAAGAATGTTCGACGTGTCATTCCAAGCCAAAGTTTGAACCATTGTCCCTTCATTTAAAGATAACAGAATAATGTGCATTTCCACAAGAAACTTAAAAATAAAGCTACACTTCTCACACTGTAGTAAAAATGTAATTATTAGTCGTTCTTTTATAAGAGCTGGTTTTATCCCCCTAGGTTGTAAGGTAACATCTTACAAACGTTCCGCCAATTTTGGTTCTCTCTTTCTGAAAGAAAGTTCTTTTCAGAATAATGTCTTTTTGGATTTGGTTTTGAGACTGGAAATCCAAATTAACACAATGGTCAGACTGCCCCTTCGTACTTACTGGATCATGCATCTGTCTACAGCATTTAAACTATTAATTAAAAATATTATGAACTTAGGAGTTTGCATTTGCAAGAAAAAAAATGTCTGAAAGAGTCTGTACTGAGTAATTCCGAGGAACACATCCTTCTTCACCATCCTCTCAGCTGCTTGCTCCGGAATGCAATAACAACTGCTTAAATGTTAACAAGTGCTTTATGTGTAACTGATACAAAAATTATCAGAATTTAGATAAAATGTACTAAAATTGTTTCTACCACTATCTTATGAAAGCCACAGGACTATTTCTAATGTTTTTTTCAAGTCCAATTTCACTGTTAATTAAAAAGCAAAATTATGTCTCTTGTAACAGATAAAAGTCCATTTGCCTGCTTGCATGTAGTTAAAAGTTACTTTGAATTTTTCTTACCGATTTTGACAATCTTCTGTTCTTTTCCAAACCGTTTAACTGAAGTAATGTAAAGATCTCTGTTCTTATCAATAAAAGCTATTTTTCTTTCACTTGTAAGTCCTTTCTGGTCCAAAGCAATCTCCACAATTTCCGTCTGAGAAGGAAAAAAGAAAATATCTGATTTTTATTTTGGAGATTTGTATCACGGAAAGCATGGGATATTCAAACAAATCAATGTTTTACTAAAGACAAGGCACCAAACTCTTGAAAAACTGGATTGTGAAGACGCTTCATGTGTGTCTTCTCTGCTGAATGAAGCGTTACATAAATTGAATTTCATGCAGATTAAACCAAAACTGCAACAGAGAAGAGTCAGCAGTTTAGGAATTTACCACAAAACTACAGAAATACAAGTGGCGATCCCAGAGCAAAAGCTGCCTAAAACACGAATGTTTATCCCACTCTGCAAGGAAGCTGCCTTATTTTTCCTTTTGTTGTGTTCCAGAAGAGTGAAGAAAAGCAAAACGCAGTTCAGGCACTCAGTTTTGAAGTAAAACCAGTAAATGCTCAGACTGAAGACAGACATCTTGTCGCTGCTGTTCCCTTCTTCAGTGTTAACAACAGGTCGGCACTAGGAAAATTGCTTTGGAGTACACGCAGAGGAAACTGACTTGATCCGTTTTACTCACAACAAAACTTGTTTACCTGTAGTTTCAAACTCTTCTGCGCATGAGGAACACACACCGGTAACTGAACACAACCTACAGCATAACCCTTTGTACATCGACACTGCACAAATAATCTGATTTTTGTTCTTTTATAAGAGCCAGCTAGAGTTGTTAAGCTCCTTTCTATTATGATTGTAAACCTTTAATAGGTTATTAGACCCATTATTGGGGAAAGCCATTACTGATTCTTAATTTCAAAGTATGATAAAAAAGAGACACTACATCCTTCACCTTACCTTATGGGTTAGAGGCTTTCCATCTCCCAGTGGCTTTCCAGATAAAGCTTCAAATATATAGATAACTGAAGAAAAAAAACCCACATGGTTTATTAGCTAAAAGCAAGAGTTCTTCATAGACTTTTCACGCACTTCCATTCTTTTTCAGAGTACAATTTACTGCAAGTGGATGCTTCTTATTGTGTGCTAGATTTACCAGTGACTTTCACTCTCTGGTCAAAAAAAGTTAAAATCTTCTTTTTTTTGGACAAAAAAGTCAAAAAATCTTACAGCTGGAAAAATGTAACCATCGTAGTCTGCTGAGCTTTGAAATCGTCTCACTTTGCAATCAGAATGATCTGTGAAAATTCTCAAATATCATTCTTTTCAGAGCATTGATAGCCACTGAAATATAATATTATGGACTGATACAGAGTTGAGAAAACCGATGTTTTACTTCCTATCACAGCTCACATGATTATTTACAGAAATGACCCCAAGTTCTATCTGATGGCAGTTTGTACCCTGCATTCTGAATAAATTAATGTTTCCAAGGCTATCTGATAGATTTACTCAACCTTTGGAGTAATTTTGATGGATCTGAAAGTTTAGGAAGTCATACCATTGACTGAAATATTTTCCTAAAGGAATTGCTATCTGGTATATAGAAAGCTGTCCTTTGAACTACTGGGTAAAACATTCTTCAGAAGTACTATCTTTTTTGTTAATAATCTGCTCTGCTTTGAATTCCTCATACGGTGGTCCCTAGGCATATTTTCTGCCAGGGCAGTTTAGGGTTTCTGCTCATCACAGTGATACAGCTAATGACAATACATCAATAACTGGCTTCCTCAAAAAGCATCTGCTCTATCCAGATACACTTGAATTTTATAGATAATTCTTGCAATCTTTACCAAAAGTCCATCTGTTCCACTCTCTCCCTGTCTCACCCTCAAAAAAAAAAAGACAAGAAAAAAACCCTCCAAAAAACCCCCACCTGCATCATCTGTTTTTCTGGGATATCCAGTGAAGACCCAAATTTGCAACTTGCCTAAAAATAAAGTTTCTCTTTCTTTCTTTCTGTCTCACTCTCTATATATCCATATGTATGTATGATGCATACACATCCGTGTGTGTTCAAAAACTATTCAACATACTTTATATATTGTCTGTCAATATACACCCAGATTCAGCCAGATGTAGGCAGGGTATTCAAACCCAGAGAAAACAGTAACACTACAAGGAACACCAGCTGTAATTTAAAGCACACGGTTCCACGTCAGCTCATGGAAAAGAGAGATGGGACAGAAACCTTTCAGATGTTCGGTGACACATCCCACCTGCGGTGCCAACGCGTCACCTGCACGCACACAACGCGAGACAAACCTACGCGTTCGCTCCGAAGGATGGCGGTGTTAACGTGTTCATCCTGCTGTGCGTTTCTTTCACTGGGACACAGGATGTTGGTTTGAGGTCAATGGTTACACAGGCAGAATCGAAAAAAAAAAACCAAAAACCCAACCCAAAACTGTAAGAGCAGGTGTTCAGAAAGCATTGGTTGAGTTTGCAGAGGAGGAAAAGAAAGGGTTTTGCACAAGCGTTGCTCTTGGCAGCTGGCTAAGCATACAAAAGAAAACTAGTTGTTCCTGAGAAGTGCTATTTTTCTCACTTTTATGCGCAGGTCCCTGCATGAAATTTGTTTTGATCTAGCCATACAAGCCAATTTTACTGCTACTATACTAGCTGTAGGAAGTGAGACTAAGAGAGTTTTAAAGAAAACCACTGTACCTAATTGACAAGTCAAATTGATTAACTTTGCATTAATCTACAATGCTAAGATATTAATACCTTAATAAGGAAGGACTGCAAGCGCAGACATACCAATCTTTTTTCTACATTACTGGAAGAGGGAGAATATCCAGGTAAGAACACTGAAGCACAGCAAGTCGTATCTAGTAAACTGGCTTGCAGAGAGCTCCATGCTACGATGTGCAAACTGCTTCCTGCAACAAACTGAGCTAGCTTAGAGATTTCTATAACGCAGTGCATTATGAAAAACAGACCTGCCCTCAAAACAGGGCAAAAAACCCCCCCTGCTTCTGCCGGGGTGAGTCGAGAAGAATAAACAGGCCTAGATAAGCCATGGTTTCCTGTGCCAAGAATCTGCTTTCCCACGTGCTGGCATATCATATGGCATTTTACCACTACTCGGGGACTCGTATCTAAAAAAACAGAAAACCCTCACCCCTACTCACTGCCCTGATGGAAGCTCCTATTAACACGAGCATTTGGAGAGCTAATCTTGAAAACACGGCCAGGAACCTGGGCTCTGTAAATTACAGTTTGGATGAAGATTAGCCTGCGTGCGGGACCGGCTGACAGAATTTTCAGGACACAGAATTTTAGGGCTACAAGGATGGTGAGGGGACTGGAGCATCTCCACTACGAGGAGAGGTTGAGGGAACTGGGCTTGTTCAGCCTGAAGAAGAGAAGGCTGCGAGGGGACCTTATAAATGCCTACAAATGTCTGAAGGGTGGGGGTCAGGAGGATGGGGCCAAGCTCTTTTCAGTGGTGCCCAGTGACAGGACAAGGGGCAATGGGCACAAACTGAGGCACAGGAAGTTCCGTCTGAACATGAGGAGGAACTTCTTAGGGGGGTTGGACTAGATGACCCACAGAGGTCCCTTCCAACCCCTACTATTCTGTGATTCTGTGATTCTGTGACACAAATAGGAATGGTTGGGAGATGGAGATGCTCTTCAGCCTGTGCAGGAAGATGGGCAGGGCAACGGGGTAAAAGAGTGAGTTTACCATCAAAATCTTGAGTATGCATCCATATAGACAGCAGTCAATATTTATGGATGAATCTTCTAAAGAACCTCAATTTACCTAAAATACTTCTATTGTTTTTATTCTAACTGCATCAAGGTGTGGATATGGCAATAAAATAAAGCCTCTGAGTTATACATATTAAGTAACATATTAACAAACATACATACACTTGTGTAATATAAATACATATACACACACACGGAGCAAAAAAGAAAAGATGTGAAATAAAATACAACTTTTCACTTATCCATTCATTTTTCTTTGGCAAACTACTGCTTTCTTCTGAATAATTTACACTGAAATATATTTTTGATTATTAAAACCCATTTTAATTACTACACAGCTATTTTAGGTATCTTTAATGTCCTGGTGCTAGAGGATATTATTTTCTGAAGTAATTTTCCTTAGAAATGAAATACATATTACAGTTATAATACTACTCTCAAAGATAATTGTTCAAATGAACGAAGTATTTGTTCTTGCACAAAAGATAAGGATGCACAAGAAAAAAAAAATACACGTAACTTGTATGGAGTAGCAAAACGGCTTTGTAACAAGGAAGTGAGAAAAACCTCACGTAATTTTTCTTCTGCTTGGGGACGGGTATTTTAAAGGATCATTACAAGGGTTTTTTTCATTCCCCGAGTAATCGAAGTTGCAGGTTATATGCTGAGAAAGCTACTGCGTAGTCAGTACTGAAGGGCTAACTCCCTGCCAGGATCTGCTTTTGTCTTCTGCGCTTCACACTGAAAGGTTTTTTTTGTATGACAAAAAGAAGATAAATACTGCTGCAAGACAAAGAATTCTAAAATTCTGACCCTGTTTCAAATCTAATCATTCAGTCTAGGAGAACAGCTAGAGTTACAGATAACAGATACAGTTCGTGTCAGCTGGAACCACGGGCAGGAAGCTTTCACTGCTGCACTCTGCAGTCACAGCAGCTCTGGGCACAGCCGTTCCCACTGGTAATCCCCTCACCGCCCGTATCGCAGCAGAAATACAGCTACAGATAGCGCTGCAGCCCTGTCTCCTCGTTATTTGTGTGGCCTATAAATGGCACAGTCATGGAGTCAAAAGTTATAGTGCCACAGGTTCTCCAGCAGTGGAAGTTCTGTCTCCGGCAGACATTTCAAATTTAAACTGTTGCACAGGCGAACTACACGTTTGCATCAAGAGACAGAAGAAAGGAAAAAAGCTGACTGACAAAAAGATATTCCTGTACCACTCCTTAATACAAAATTTACCTGAAACTCATTTGGCCATGTTGTGTTTTGTAATTACAGTGCTTTTGATGCCAAAACACAAAATTCAAGAACATAAAAATCTTCAAGAACACAACACCGAGACTGAACACCACAGCCTCATAACTACGGTCACATCGGCTCTGTATAAAACTGACAGGCTGTAGAGATACAAACCCAAATAAACCAAAACAAAGAACACCGGAGAACTAAAATTAATCACAGCTAATGTACTGGTAGCTTCTAAAAGCAGCAGTCAAGCAGAAAAAGTTGCTGAGGCACTTCTTTAGAAAATCACATGTCAGAGAGTGAAAACCTACTGTCCAAGTAACTACTGTAGCCATACTCCACGCTTCTCGGATGCACTGCACACAACTAGAAGTTCAGAGACATCTCTCATTCTCTTTTATTTTTTAATCAAAGTTAAGTAAGACCCATAATTTTAATTCATTTTTATAATAAATACTATCTTTATCTCATAGAGAAACTGTTTATGCTTTATGCTTTCTTTTTTTACCACAGCTGTGCTAAGTAAAGTTAAATGCAAAGATGCTGAAAACCTCATAAAGAATTATCCGCAAACACAAAACTGTTAGAATGGAGAACTTACCTTTTTCATCAGCTTTGTCTTTTACCGCTAGAGTATCATTACTCAGAGATACTGTCTGGGCATTCAGAATGTCTGTTCTCATTCCTGGAAATTTGGGAGAGGAAATTAATCTTCCTTCGTATGAATATAAATAAAGTCCTCTGCCATCTACAAGAAGAAAATGCCTACAGAAAAACCCAACAAAAAAGTAAATCACTAAGTAACACAGCAAACCATGATGACAGTTTCAAACAGTTTGAAGGTAATTGTCTAATACCCTGCAACTGTTTTCAGTTAAACGATGTAATTTCTAAGCTTTAAAATTCAAAGCTGATATTCTGAAAGCTCTGCACGGAAGATTTCATTTTTAATGGGAACATTATCATTTTCCATGAGATATTTATTATCTAGCATCCCTATGATTTTATCTGTTATATATATTATAAGATTTACATCTCATAACTCCCGATGACAAAGCACACAGCTGCAGACAGTACTCCCCCCATGTCACCCCATCAGCCAACGCTGTGTGTATGCAGCTGAGAAACAGCTTTAATGTTTACAGCTAGCTTTGAAATAGCATTACCTGTACCATTCTCTTCAGTACGACTAGATTATAATGCAAAGCCAACAGAAGACACTCTCTTTATGAAATGATCACCATCTACTGCGACGCAGGGCTTCAGTGAAAAAGAACTCGTTTGCAGGAACACGCTGCAAACTTTTATACAGAACACAAATAGTTCTACATACCAATATCTGTCTGGAAAGTACAGCATCCATAGCTCATAGTGACAAAACGCATCCATAAACAAAAAGGTGGTTGTTGGGACCTCAGTCATTGCAAATGTCACCAGTCATTGGCACCAGAGGAACCACTGCCTGCTTGCACGGACAGCTCTCGACGTAGACGGGTTTTACCAAACCCTTAGGTTCATTTCTGTGGAACACCTACACTGCCAAAGCATCTGCGCCACATTTTCAAAATTTACTTCACTTGGCAGGACAGAACTCCAGATCTAGAAACTGATCTTCAAAATCCTACCCACTTGCTTACCCACTCTCTGCTGCGGTATCTTCGTAGACCAGGACTTTAATGTTTAACCTGGGACACTCAAATATGCAGCGAGCACTGTGCTGCGCATTGCTGAAATAGCTGTCTGACAATACTTGTCCATAAGAATTAGGACTATAATCAAAACTCAAGATTTTTGACTTCCTATTCTTAGTCCTTTGAAAGACTTGACACAAATGCGCATGTAAAGACCTCTTTGACAAATTATTTTTAGGAAATACAGGTGGAAGTTTTCTTTTAAACTGAGAAAAAGCAGTAATTTCTTGCAAATATAAATACAAATATGTAAGAAAAATGAAACTGTTTCTTTTTATTTGGCATACCTGGCAATGTTTTAAATAAAAACTGGAGGTCAAAGATAATTTATATAAAATATATTCCAGTTCCAAAGAAGCAATATAAAACATCAAAAAAACCCAGCTGTCAGAAGATCTACTTTCTTCCATAAAGAAGAGTATAAACATACATAATGTATGGGAAGATCCATTACCACCACCACAGACCTATGGCAAATGTACCAGCTAAGCCTTTACATGCTACCAAACAATAATGTATTCTTTTTGTTTATTTCCAATACTCCAATATGTGCTTATTGTATATAACGAAGTTTTAGGAAATGCACGTTCTCATCTAATAGTGAGCATTACAAGAAGTACGCTACCTTTCCGCTTGTAGAATCAAACTAACTGTTCCTTCCTTCAGGTCAAAGATCAGTGGCGTATTCCAGTTCTTTGTACTGAAAAAAAAAAAAAAAATCATTTGTTAAAACCGCTAATCTTTACATACTATTGCAAATATGAAGTTGAATTCACTAAGTAAAGCACACACATTTTAATCAGCTAACATTCACAAAAAGGGAGGTTTTCAAAAGGAAAACAGCATTTAGGAAGCCAAGTAACACTGATAACCACAGAGTATGATCCAATAACACTTCTGCCTTCATTTTTGCATCCCTTTACGCTAGCAGCAGCTGACCCAGGAGTCTGAGTAAACAGCAAAATCATATTTATATGAAGCAAACCTATTTTAAAAATATTTCTGGATTGTGGTTCATCTCTTTCACAGCGGTGCGGAGGTAGGAGAGTCCTCCTCTTGTCTGCCCTATTACAGGCTGCATTATTGTTCAGCTTGAGTCATCTCACTGAGCAGATAAGCGCCTTTAGGAGTAAACTTTAAATTTCAGCATACAAAACAGAATATCATGTTCTTAAAACATGAAGCAGGATTGAATCATTCCTATTCTATTCCAAAAAAATGGCATACCAGAAGCAGTGTCCAAAAAAAGGAGTCCCTAGATGGAGGCACATAACCGGGACAAACACACTTGTATCCAGCCACCGTTCCCGCTGCCTCTAGGTGGAAAGAAAGAATGCTACATTTTTGTAGCAAAATGAACAGGCAATCACAGCACCAGCAAGAAGCTGAAAGAAAGGATGATAGGGGGAGGGCAAATATACTCCAATACACTTTGTGTTGATGATGCTAAGTTCCATAGAATATTTCAATTAGTAAAAAAAACCTAAAAACTCCTGCACTTCAGATGAAGTTTCTGCTCTCTTACTACTGTGAGAGAAACTTGAGAAAGCTTCATGAATTTGTAGTACTTACGAAAACACGTAACACTGAAGAGAAGTTGAAACAACCAAATGCCCATAGTTCAAAGAGGCCTTTATAACTCTGTCACGGAATTCCAACAAATCCACCACATCATTAATAACATTCTGCACCTGATCAAAAGCAAATTTGGGTTGAATGAAACAACAATAAATGAACACTAACTAGTGAAATATATTAGTTCTTATTATAAGTAAATGCTGATACTGTTACGCCATTGGCAGAAGAACGTTTCTATGTGGCAACAGGCACTTTCACAGCATTAGTGAAAACTTACAACTCCAAGGTTCTACAAACTCTGAACAAACAACGGATAATTACTGAGGAGCTAGATGGAGTTCCTTAAAAGCAAGGAGTAATCAATGCATGCTTGGAATACATAAGTGCAATATTAGACATGGGGTTGAGAAAATCATCGGAGATCAAAGCCGTCTGAAAGGTCCAATTTTAAGATTGTTCAGTTGCTGATTACTGAAACATTTGAAATGTCATACTTCAGCGATCCCATCACAATCCCCATCAGAACAATTCAGCAACATCCAAGGTTTGGATAAAGATGTTGCATAGCTCTAGCATATATTTTAACGCTACCACACTCCGAAGTAAGAGAAATTTAGGAGATGGCTTTGGTGAGCAGGCTGTGCCTTTGCCATTTCTGTGAAAAATTGCTCAAATGAGAATGTTTCAAGAAAACCACCGTTTGTCTGTAATCAGCACAGAATTTTGAGCTCAAAGATTTTAGGCAGCTATAATCTAAGGAGATATCTTATGACGGGGGTAGGGGGGCGGGCGTGTGTGTGTGTTTGGTTTTGTTTGATATTGGGGTTTTTTTTTTTAAGATGTCATCATTCTGAGGGTGGTAACTTCTCTTTGATTTTCTCCATTATACAACCAATTGCAAAACAAGGACTGAACTCAATTAATATGAAAGCCTAGAAACCATTTCCAAAGACATATTAATTGCTCTGTCTACCACAGTGATACGACCATAATTAACTTAGCTATTCTAGTACTCAGAAAAAAAGAATGCATCTAGAACTTTTTTGTAGGCAATATTTTCCTACATAAATACATAGAAATACAATAAAAATCACTATAATAAAATAAAAAAATTAGTCCTAAATCAAGGTTAGCTATACTTCCTCAGTTGTTTGCATATTCAAACACCCTGGAGATCATTCACAGAGCCCATCTGTTACGAGTCGATGTCTGGGAATGAAAGAAGAAATATGCATTTTTACCTGCTAATTTGCCTTCTGTGTTCCCAGACACTGACTCATGTTATCCCACCCACCGGACCAAATTGTAATACAGCATTTCTGTTGTTACAACTTTTCCCAATTACATATTCAACATTTAAGAATCAAGACCAAAAAAACATTTAAGGGCCTAATTAGGAATTTAGGAACTTGACTTCGATATTGAAAATACCGGCTTGGTGTCCAGTACCAAATGTGTAATTTGGAAAATTTGTAAGAATGGAAATCTTATATTATCCCAGTGTTCAGAGAGTGAACGTTGTGAGTCAGTGTCTGGGAACACAGAGGACAAATTAGAAGGTAAAAATTCATATTTTTGTATCAATTCCCAGATATTCAGTAACCTAAACGTGGATTCAGGCCAAGATTTTTCAAAAGCAGGGTCCTAAACTTCAGCTCCAGAAACCACATGCAGGGGCCTGTTTCATTTCCAGCAGCGCTGAGACTTGGCAGCTCCCACCGAGGTCAGTGCCTGCAGCTCAGTACTCAGCTGGAAGCACCAGCAGGTACCTGATCTATGTTCTATGATATATGACAAATTGCTGTAGCTTCGGAAGATCTGAATCTAGGCTGTAACACAATACGCAGTGCAGAAAAGCACATTACAACTCTTTACAGCTATAGCCAGCGACCACACTTATCTGGACATGCCCTAAGACAGCAGCATTCAGCACAGCCTCCTTAACAACAGGGATACAATGAACCTTACTAAAGCATTAGCTGCTACACAGGGCATCGGTGCCTCCAACCGCTCGCAAATGCAGACAAGGTAAAGCAAGCTCCTCTGTATTATCTGCACTTGGTTATGCAGCTTCCCTTTGCTGACAGCTACTGTAATACTATTTAATATGATGCTTTGGTTTTGGCCAATGTATTGTACTGTTCTCTGCACAGACATATTGCTTACACTTGAAATTATCTCTCTCTCATAAGTGGCCTCCCACAGCTAATTTCACGTGCTCTTCGAAGGAGCTTTGCCCTTTTCTGGAGGATAAAGTACTTCTGAGTTACGTATTTCTGGTCCATCTGGTGGCATGGTTTGGTTTACATGGATCTGATCTTCTGTACTACTGATCATTATTTACACTATTTGCTAACTGGCCATTTTATGTTCTTAAACGTTTTCAGTCATACATACACAGAAAGGACAATGTTTCGTCAAGGCTTAAAAATTCCCATTTTGTATTTAAAAACAAAAAAATTCTTAGAAAGCTAGTAATCCAAACGCACAGCTCTGAACTGCAAAGATTACCTTCATGGTTCTCCTCTTAATTAACGTTACTTCAAAGTTCTTCCACTCCCAGCGCTGGTCCACGACATGGGCAAAAATGACGTGCCCATTTCCACATGCCCCGGCTAGCTGAGTGCCATCAATAGACCAAGCGATATTAAATATGCTGCCAGTGTTCGGCTTCTCCAAAGCATAGGACCACTTGCAGAAAAAGAGAAAAGAATTCTTAATATTTGTTTCACACCTTTTGGAAATGATTTATTGCAGTCAATAGATTCGCAAGGTTGTTATTCTTTAAGAAACGTCAATGAACTGACTTTTTGTTACAGCTTGAATAAGGAAACCAAAGTTTAGACGTCTTAAGTGAGATTCTGGAAAAACAGCGATTCAAGAAGGAAAACCGTCAGGTACGGCAGAAATGAAGAATGTCACAATGCCTGAAGTACAGTAATGTAATGTCACAATGCCTGAAGTAAAAGTTATCTAGTCACAATATCTTTAAAGTGTACTTATTCATAAATCTAGACAATTACTGCATAAAAATTCAGTGAAGGTACTTCGAAACACTGTACTGGTTACAGGGGTGCGGCGTGCTGTGGTCTAAGCGTGCTGCCCTTGGTTGACGCTGCGGTGACAGCAGTTCCTGAACAGAGGCAGCAGTCGGGGCGAACCCGGCGCTCCTCTCCCAGCACACAGAGGACCGCACAGCCCCTGTGTCGCTTCTCTCCGTGCTTCCAGCGTAAGGGACACCGGTGGATTACGACAAGCTCCGATAGCAATGCCTGTACGTCGCTCTCCTCCTAACACAAAATAGAAGCTTGATACCCTGCCCACCGTTTTCTTTAGTCTCTGTTGTTACTGTACAGCGGAAGGATGTATTAAAAATTTCCAGTTGCTATGCTTGCAATAACAACAAAAAATTGGAACATTACTGCCATCAAAGTAGTGACATCTGGTCCAGCTTTGGGAAGAAACAGAAACAACAGCTCTGTGCGCTGCGTTTGGTTTAGACCAGCAAAGAGGTGCTCACACAGGAGTATCACAGCTTAACATCGTGGGGGCACAGGTCAAATAATGGTATTTCAGAATCTTGTTATCAAAATAGGTAGGGTAGCTGCTTTCCTGTGCAGCTAGGAATTCCCATAGTGGGCACGACAGCGGCAGCGCACATCTTCCTGCTGCCTGGACTTTGCAAGGTGGAAAGGCTCCTTTGGACCTAACGAGTGAATTTCTGTGGTATCGCAGCTAACCTTTTCCTTCATCTTCTACTACTGGTCTACATCATCTACATCTGTTAAACTACAGTTATCAGTTTGGTTTGTTGGTTTTTAAATGGAGGCGTAAGATTATTGGGATGGAAGGAAGCCTGCATTTAGTACTAAATGTAATTTTGTTCCTTTTCAATATTTAAATTTCCTCCAGTGAAGAACTTTATTCTTAAATTCCTCCAGCCTTATGCACGAGACTCCTCTAAGGTTTAGCTGGATCCTTATTAAGACATTCTTGTCAAAAACTAGAAGAATTTTTAGACTGAGACACTTGTTTTCTATTTTCGTGCATCCCAGAAATACAATTCATACAAATCACCTGAATCTCCGAACAAGTGTTTCCCTGACAGTGGATGACAAAAAATGAAATAACCTTTTTATGGACTTTTAGCAAGACATTAAACCAGGTTTTAAAACTAGAAGCAAATGTCAACTATAGCCTCTTCAGAACTGTGTAACAAAGTATTTTAAAAAATATTTAGCAATTGAAGAACTACCTGAATACTCAAATACATTTGAAATCTTCAGAATCAAATCAGAAAGAAAAAATATGCGACTGAAGTTAAATGTAGACATTGGGTTCTCATGACTTTTGGACACATGATGTTATACCAAAGGGGAGACAGTTGGAAGAAAATACTCACCTAATGTTTCTAACACATTTCATATTTAATTTCTTTTCCAGTACATATAAAACCCAAGAAGTCCTTCACACAAAGTCTTCATATGATTTAAAAGCAATGAAATCACAAAAATTACAGTAAAATAAAGGTGTCAGACTTGAACATTCACTAGCGAGGAGACACAATGGGATGAAACTCCACCTCCCAGCTGCACTCGTGACTTGCAGGACACTATGGAAGACAACCTGCTGAGTGCAGGCTCTTTCACCGCCCACACGCACACGGATGAGCGAAGGACAGCGTCAGCACTGCCTGAATTTCCAATTTCAAGCACTCATTAAGGCTTCAGCTTCCATGCCTCCTGGCTCACAGACACGGCACTCACTGCCTAGAGTATCCGCAGTTGGGGAAGGTAATTACAATTTTTTGAGAAAATATAACCTACTCTTCAGTCTCAGCGGGATGAATTATCCATGAAACGCTCTGCAGTAATTAAGAGCATAATATTTACTTATGTCTGACATCCTTATACGGCAAATGAGTAAGCTCTTGAGGCTGTAGGACAAATGATTGTAAGAAGCACCCTCAGAGAACGCTCTACATGCCCTGCGTCTGAGACATGTTTTTCACAGCTGGCCAGATGTGATCTATCCGAGAACAGCTTGAAGAAGTGCTATTTCAAAACTGAATATTGGGATCCTCCCACACAGACAAGGCTGTTTCTAAGGTCATTTCCCTTAGATCAAGAATCAGTCAGAAGGCATAACAAAGGGGCATCAAGCCATCAACTAAGAACCAGTTTAAGGAGCTTGAAGAATGTGGCTTTGGTGCTACTTTTTATGCATAGCAGATACAGTTCCAATACAACTTTTTTTTTTTAAAAAAAAGAAGTCTTTTTTCCAGTAGTTGAAACAGTAAAATATTTCCAGATTACAATCTAATTTTTTTGTAAAAAATATACAAAGCAATTACAACATTTTATTTTCCAGTTATTTCTGAAAGCTTTCAGTATAATTCAGACCACTCCAATGATTCATACTCCCTGGAGGTGTCTGGTACATCTATCATGTACACAAAATGTTATAATAAAAATCATTTAGCTCTCCATTTGTAAGATAGGAACAATGTTTAAAACCCAAAATAGTTGTTATGTATTTCCTAGATACATTGAGTTTAAAAAAAAAAGGTATGAATATGACCATATGAATGACTGCATGAATGTTGTTCTAACATTAGCTGCAATATTATACTTTGGTATTACCGTTTGGCTTATACTATTCCTATGTCATAATTAATTTTTCATTGAATTCATTGAACTCTCTCAAGAATAAAACCAGTAGTTACAAAAGTTTCATTATATTAAATAAACACATAAATGCAGTAACTTCAGCTTCCCTTTTCTGATTGCACAATGAAGTAAAAAAGATGAAGTACTATAGTAATGGCATACTGTCTAACTTCCATAAATGGAAACTGAGTAGGCTCTTGAGATGTCGGTCATTATTTCAATGAGCCGATTCAGAGAACTCTGTGTCCCAGGAACAGGGACAGTCTCTCACATCTGTAATACTGATGCTCCCAGACTCAGTATGAAGGATCTAGTTAGCTATTATTTCTGGACTGAATGCAGTAAATAAAAAATGGTTATCTGCAGCATAAATGGTTTGAAAAAAACCATAGTGAAGCAAGAGTATTTTCTTGTATTTTAAATTATAAGCATAATACTGATGTCAGCTGTGCAGAGGCCACTTGGTTGTTCTGGGCTGGTCTCTGTTTCGGCTCTGTTTACCAGCGCCAGTGGAGTTTTGAACAAGGAACGCTGACATAAGCTGAACTAAAGCTGACACTGCTGCACCGCCCCATGATGTCAGAATCTACACAGCATACTTAACCCACTGACTGTAATGATAGTCTTTGCCTATTATTTTGCCTTTGTTTATGAAAAGAAAATGTGCAGTCTCTCCCACAATCCATTCCAGGAATCAGCTTGCAGAAAGGACTAACAGCAAATACATGCTTCCGTCCTTTCATGCCCCAGCTGATATAAACCAAGATGAGTGCACTAGAACCAGCCTCCATCCAAGTTGGACACTTAAAGAAAGTTTCAGGTCCTAGTAACTGAGGACTTCTATTTATTATTTCTTCTGAAGTGAAGGCTCAGTCTCCCCGATGCCCCACAGGGCATTTAACATTAGTGCAGAGGTAGCTGCCATCTGAAAATACGTTATAGTCTGAACATCCGTTAAAAGCTGGCAATCAGCTCTCACTGCTTCTGAGCGATGAACTGACACTTCAGTGCAAATTGCCCAGAAGCTTCTCATCAGAAAATGACAATTTTTTGATGTCATGGAAGACAAATTGGATCTTACAAGATTACAAAAATCAATCATCCAAAGCAAATCCATACTTAGGTGCATCAGAGGCACCTGAATATGCACACAGACATGGAATTAGCTTGTGGGAAATATATGTAAGTCTACATACACCCCCCTGATCTTTTACTGAGTATAAAATATAATGATATTTTACAGTGTAAGATTTATTAAACTTTCAGTTCCTACCCTGCAGGAATCCACAGGAGATTCTACAAACCAGAGACAACAGGCCTAACTGGAGGTAAGGCAATCCAGTGCTACCTGTGAACACCGGGCGATTCACCTGAAGAGAAGAAACCATCCTCGACACGACTACCGAAGCACTGAACCGTGAAGGATTCTTGTTGCTGCCTTAAACATTTGTTGGACTTGACCCTAGTAATTAATGTGAATTATCGAGAACTAAGCCACTACCTACAGGTGAGGTACTAAGCTGCGTATTAGAAGAACAACGCCAGAGGATATCTAAAATTCTCCTGAAATCCAACCTTGTAACTGTTAGACCCAAGAACCACAAACGGGATGACAAACTGTCCCATATAAATTCTTAACGTTAGAAAATGAAACATTGATATAGTTCTTTAAATAGATTATTACTTCCATAGGCGATCCACATGTTTTCATTTTCTTCCAGAAGTTACATTAGCCAATTCTAATCAATTAAAATATGCCAACTTGGAAAGAACTGGCCAACAACATAGCTCCATGGGAAACTCACCTGCAATATCTTTTCTTTTATTGAGCTACAAAGAATTCAGGATCATGACTGTTAATAAAGGTAGATGAAATAGAGACAGCGCAGAAAAAAACTCTGTATTTTTGTTACACTGCCAAATGCGTATCTCTGAAACAAGACTAAAACTAAATGTAATGGGATCAAAGCTCATTGTGACTCTATAGAAGTGGGTTTTCATGCTGCTCTAGTTTAGGACAATTCAGCACTATCAGATTAACATGAAAACACACGTGCTGTGTACATTCATTTCCAAAATCTTGCTCTCTTATATTTGTCTAATACTTCACGTTAATTTAAAGGATAAATTATGTTAATTTTACAATAGTCACAGAATTTACTTTAATGCTAATTAGCTTTAATGCTAAACACGTAAACTTTTTTTCAAAGCTTCTCTGTAGATACTTGCTACATTGTAGTTTTAAAATTCTTAGATGCTTTCTTTCCTCATTTGTTGATAGTTTAAAAAATAAGGAAAAACACTGCTAACTATTTAACATATGACCAGCACTGGACTATCAAATTAATATAATCAACTTTCATGAAGTTCAAGTCTGTATCCTTTTGAGAAGAAGCTGAATAGAACCACGTTACCACAGAGCTCAGTATTTTCCAGCCATAGCACCGTACTCACACTTATTTCAAATGGGGTGGCAGGTGAGGAGTTGTTGTTACACTTGCAGAATGTTTTCCTTTATTTTCTTCACATACTAGGTAATATTCTCTAAATTTTATTAGTTTTTCCAAATGTTTTTTATAGAATTTCTAGCAAAAACAGACATTCCATGGAGCAAGCCATATGGTGTTCAAAACATTTAGATGTTCAAAAAACGTACAGATGTGGCACTTGGGGACATGATTTAGCAGGCATGGGGGTGTTGGGTTGACGGTTGGACTTGATGATCTTAGAGGTCTTTTCCAACCTTAATGTTTCTATGATTCTATGAATATAAAAAGCCACGTATAACAGAATCAGCCAAATACACAAACTACCAGTCTAGTAAAATGGCCCCAAATTCGTTCTGTAGTACAAGAGAGTTTGTAGAATGTACATAATCACTTAAAAACACGAACCTATAGATTTATGCAGAGAAATGCTTTCATTACAAAGCGCTTGCTAACCAGTGATGAAATCAAGAGAAAAGTAAATGAAGCGGCAAGATTTAGCAGTCAAACAAACATCAATATATTTATGAAAACAGACTGCTGATAAACATCACCAGACAAAATGTTCAAAAAGAAGAGTACAATTAATCTGGAAAATAACAACAACAAAAAATCAAATCAAACTGATTAATCCCCATTAAGGGTAAATAAATTGTTAATGGAAGAAAATCTAAAAGGTCTCCCCCCAACAAATGCATAAATACATTCAGCATTATTAAAATCCAAATCAATGTGCATCTTTGCTAGCTTTTGTTGGCAATTCTAAAAGGATTAATCTGACCATAGTGTTTCACTTTGCAGTTTTTTATCAATTATCCTTCTACACTCTCCAAGGCACTGGGAAAGCAACCTGTCTTTGGAGCAGATGGGTATGGCCCATCTTCTAAGAGGACTTCTGTGGGAGTGGAGTGTGGAAGGAGGAAATCAGTGAATTTCAGTCATTCTTACCATCTCTTACTGTGTAAATATTTTGACCTGATCAGTAATGTCAAGGGAAGCATGCACAGCCACAGGAAATAGCTTACGTAAATGAACTTTTTAAGCGCTGCCCTCTATCCAAGTGATTAGATTCTGAAAAGCTGTGAACACCAGGAAGGCTAAAGTCTATCCATCGATACATCCAGCTTTTCATTTCAATGCATAAACTTTAAAATTAATCTTTCTGCTGTCTGCAGGATTAATGAACACAGACACTAAAGCAGACAACAAATTTCGACATTAAACACATTTTGTTCGGTATTCTGTAGGATAACCATAATAATTTCTTTTAGATACACGCTACCAGAGCAAAAGTGATTTTTAGATGAAGAAATGGAGACTTCTGAAAGTTACTATTCTATCGGTAGTTTTCTTTTTTAACATGAAACTGCTAGCAGAAAGTATCCAGGTAGAAAGAAAAGCATGGGAGAAAAGAACATACACGAACAGAATTTAATTTAATTATGTCCCCAAACCAAACACATATGCTAGAGAAGAGTTAATGATATATATATCGCCTGATGGCTCCCTGAGGAGCAATTTGCCAATACAGCTCCATTACATCAGACATAATAAAAATGTCTGTGTTGACCAGTAAAAGCCAGGTCTGGTTCTCTTCAAACTCCATCACTCTGGTGGTATGTGAATCATTCTTCCTTTTCCCTCAATACTAGTGAAGCTAGTTCTTTAGTAACTACTTACATTTAATGTCAGGAGAGAAACTTTCATGAAAAATCATGACTTTTGAAGATAATAAATTATCATTGCTAGCTGTTAAACAGACAAAAGCACCTGGCACTAGCTACTGTACGTGTCTTTGTTTCTTTAAGAGCTGAGTAATAAACCAGGTAAAAGAGCCATTAATTTTATGAAAAAATAAACCTATCCGCATTAAAATTTCTAGAAAAGTCCACAAGCCTGTTCAATATTAAATGCTGATTAAGAAATTACTGGTTTTCAGCTAGCAGGAGTTGGAACCATACTTACAGTAAATTACGTTACATAATAACCAGCAAGAAAAACAGTAAGGCCCCGGGGACAAGAAACAGAAGCTATATGCTACGAAACAGCGTATATGACAGCAGAAAAAACAATTTAGTATTTTTCTTCATTTTCCGCTGCACCAGTCTTTGCCACATTTAAGCATAAATCTCTATTGAGTGCAAAATGCAATTTAAGTTGTTGGCCTCACCCACACAAGAGCGTATTTATTTCAGTTTACCACTACTTGCTGATCTAGCTCAGTGATCCCAGTACTTGGAAAGGAGATAGAAAAGCGGTCGTGGAAGAAGAGGGCATTGGTTTAAAGTCCCGTTTTGAGAAGAAAATACTCATGGCTAGTCTGACTGTTCAAATCAATATACTTTACATAATGTAGTCCAACACAGCCGTAATCATACTAATATAAATTGCTTTATACAAATATACTTTATTTGGCTTCATCAAGTGAAATATAGTATATGTATATAAACACTTCTACAACAGCATATTTACACGGGGAGATGGAAAGCCGACAGTCAGGGTAGATTACTGCTTTAATTACATTTTAAGTGGAGCTAAGTGGCATATTAAATGGAGAAAAATCTTCCTATCCACCTTGCCTAGGAACAAAAGCTTTGAGGCAATCCTAACGGACCCTTCCAAGGGAAGCAGCAGATACACGCACCAAGCTGGTAACGGTAACGACACAATCCCACCCTCAACGCCTAACATTAGCCGAACCAGAAGAATGCCAGGGAGAGGAAATGATGTCCCCGCTGGTGACCTAGCCACTTACTGACCAACCGAGTGTCCTATCCTCTAAGAGCTGATGCACGACTGCACAGTCTTTATGACTGTAATACTTTCCAAAAGAAAATTGCGTGTGAGTACTTCTGTTTTCCTCCAGGACAATTAACATCAAATTTTACCTATACAGATTAATTAACACTAGGAATTTTTCAAAGCAAGTGAGAAGAAAAAAAACAGAAAATAGAAGCGAACCCTACTTCAAATTTAATGCCTAGTTTACACTTACTTCTGTCAGCAAAGATCACTGCAACCAGAATCAGTATAGAAAGCAAAATACGACGACTCAGAGATCTTGTCCTGCATGCCTCTTCTCATATGATTTTTAAAGGCTCTTCTTCATGAATGTAAAAATACTTGAAACGCACAGTCCATGTTCACAGTAAGGAGAACCATGCTCTACTGAAGATGCCCAAAAACACCACAGCAAATGCTGTTTTCCCAATCTGAGCAGAAGAGCAACAAACACAAGAAAAGAGGGAGAGAATGGGACAATAAAAATCCCAAACCAGCAAGGTTTGATGCAACACGAGTCTGAACAAAAAGCTGCAGAACCACAGGAAACCCACAGAGACAATCAGATCAATCTGTGCCCTGGGCTAACTTACTTCGAATACCAATGAAGGTAGATAAAACTGCATTAAATTACTTATAATTGGAGACCAAGCTGAAAAAAGCCCTAGGTTGACAACAAACAGGGAATAAAGCTTCAAGTGAAAAAAAAAAGTGGGGGTGTCTCCTTTAGGAGCCTTTCTTCTCTCACAACAGTTAAGAAGTAATAGAGATGCTCAGATGAGAGGATTAAAGCATGTCTTTGGCTTGAAAAACTGTGCCCTGTCTCGCCATCAGAAGTAGAGGCGTGACCGTTCTCTTTGCTCCTCTTTTACTACTGCTTTAGCTGTCTCATTTCAAACGCCTGACGACCGCGTTTTGTGATCTCCATATGAGATGTGCTTGTCAACTCCCAATTTTACTATTTTTAAAGGAAAAAGGCAAATAATAAAAGCACAGGACATTGTTCTTCTACCTCCTTTTTTCAGATAAGTTATTGTTACACACTCCTTGCTTTTATGGTTCAAAACTGCATTTTATGACTGCCTTATAAGAGATGCTTGTAAACTTTGTGTTGCTAAGGAAAAAAGCTAAAAAATGCACAGAAAAGTTTAATGTCCTGAAAGGCAAAATATTATAAAAAAATGTTATCCTACCCAAAACGTATTTAGAGAAGTGCAGTTAAGCAGATGAGGAACGCAGTATCTCAGTCAGATGCACCCAGTAGAAAGGTGCTGGAGGACGTGACTAGGTTTTGCTAATAAAAATACCCACCTGTACACGTATATCTTCAGGAATATTTACCGTGTTATCAATAAATTTGTACAACTCCACATTCTGCTATTTCTCAAAGTTGTTACTTACCCCAGTTTTATCACATAGACGCAAAGTATGAAAAGATCCCACAGCAAACAATTCTCCATCCACAGCCCAGGCAACAGAGGTTATAGGATATTCATGGGGCTGTGAGCTGTACAGCAGACGCCCATAACTGTCCCAAACCTTTAACAAAAATGAAATATATATCTATATGAACATAGTCTGGGCATACCTTTACTTATTCTAGAGCTATCAGTTTCCCTCATGACCACAGAAATTGCAGAAATGTACTCTCTAAGTTATTAGAGTGCCTTTTTGTGTAACTAGAAAAACCACACATATTGCAGTTCACTTTTCATTAAGGGTTGTTCCTAATCAGTATTGGTTTGTTTAATCCAATAGATTTTGCTTTGCTGCTATGGCAAGTGTTACATTTTTCTGTGCAAAATATTTTGAACTAATGAGTTTTGTTTCCTGTAAATTACTGTAAGTCTGTAAAATAACCACAAGGTTTATTCTATTTGCACTCGTTTCCCAACAATGCGAGGCACTTCTGCAAATTTCCAGACCAAAGAGACTTTCTCACTGATTGAAGCCAACAGAATACCAGCAAGCCAATTCACAGAGTGAAGTCACTGATTTTAACATTTTGATAATTTTTAAAATTTCTTGTGTACTTTTTTATCACAGCCACTATACACTTAGAGAACGATAGAACCAAAATGTGATACCATTAAAAATAAGTTCCTTCTTAAGGGAAGAAACACAGTATGTGCTTTCTACTTTGGATACAGAATATACTAATAAAAGAATTTCCTAAGGGATTCCCTAAGGCTCCTGTAATAGAAAAGGGTAGCTTTAGCTCCTCTAATTTTATATGTCATTACCCTTTTCAGTATTTGTCATAGCTTACAGTATTTCAAGTTATCATTTCTATATTTCTATGTATTTTCCTTTCAGAGTTTGTTCCAACGGTATTTGAACTTTTTTCATTTTGCCATTTCTTTTTTTAAAAGATTCTAATTTTATGCTACTAAACAGAGCGAGACGTATTTACAAATAATACAACTTGGGGTAACAAGTTTTTCTTGAAAACTGAAAGACTTCTCATTTAAATTTGAGCTTCCAAGGATTATTAAAATTAGAAAATGTCAGAATGCCTAATATCTTTTTTGGTCCTTTAGTTTCCCCTAAAAAGTTAATCAGTACCCACCTTATATTTACAGTCTTCACCTGCAGAAAGAATAAGATCATTAACTGAGTTCCAGTCAGTTTTTAAAATAAGTCCATCATGGGCTTTCCACTGAAAAGGAAAAAAAATAATTTAAACATAGATGCAACAAGCCTGACAACTTCTATGTTTAATATTTATCATTCATCATTTACTAGCATTCATATACTCCAGTGCAGATCAGGGTTTCAAACAATGCAAATCCACAGACGTCATCTCTTCTGCAGAAAAATAAATTAAATACAGCCTGAACAAAGCACAATGAAAGCATAACAACCCGCACTAAAAGCACGTTCTAAGCGATTACTTCTGTATCTTTCTGCATTTTCGTAACAAGTGAAAAGGGAAAGTCTTCTGTATATTTTTGCTTTCTCTTTATATACGAAAAGGGAAATGTTTAATCAGATGTCTGAAGAATAGCCACAGCAGAAATTGTTAACAATTTTTTCGTTTAGAGAAATGAACAATCTCCTTATTCTCAAAAAAAAACTAAACGGGGGGGAAAGGAAATGAGTGTAAAAACACTTTACGTTTGGCAAAACTCTAGATAACCGAAAAAAATTTTCACAGGGAAGTGCAAGACAACCTGACTGTATTAATAATACCTGCAAAACTTTAGCGTTTGGCTGAAGAGGTTTAATAATCAGCTGCTTCCCTGAAGTATAGAGAACTTTTTCAGAATCAGGTCCCCAGGCTACCGAGTACACTGGTGTTCCTGTAAACAGAAAGAAAGAAAGAAAGATTTCTTCTGACTTCTCCGATCAAATTATGCAGAAACTGCTATAGCGACTTCAAACTGGTTACTTAAAATCATACATCAAAAATTTAAGCGTGGGAGAAAGCCAAACGAGGGGCAACCATTTGTGCTTCACACTTGTCCAGCTGCACTTCTAGCCAGGTTTACCAGTTCACTTCAGGTTTTAGACAGCCAGAGGAGCAGCAGTAAGACCACCACAATCCAGAAAGACAGCTCTCCAGACTTCAGCTCACGCTGCATACCCTTCCAACCTTCCTCAAGGAAATAAAAATACATGGGGTGAAGTCCTGGCAAATTCACTTGTGCAAACCATCAGACACCTATCACTTTCAACAAATTTAACTCTGAACAAATCAACTCTACGCAAAATGAACAATGAACCAATGGCTTGTCCAATACTACATCTGGGTTACTGAAAATGTGTATGACTTTTCTACTCCTACAGGTATCTCCTTTTCTCATACTGTACTGATAAAGTTTTTTTCAATGCATCACTTCACCTTTAAAACCTACCCATTTTATTGCAGGGTCTGTCCAAGCGGACCCCGACTACATTTACCACTTGCTTCTTCATTTCATGCTCTCTCTAAAACCACCTCTGGAAGAATTAAAATCACCAAATTTCTTCTTCTACTTTAAGATTTCCTATTCAGTCAAATCATCTTCGTAACTAGACAACGTTGTTTCTTCAGCTTCACTGAACCTCATGTACATACCCCTAGATGGTTTTGTTTCCCTGTTCAAAAATCTGAGCAACTTGTTACAAGATATAGTTAAGCAAAATAAGATGAGATTGTCCTTCTCACCTTTGGGTCACCTGTCACCTTTAAGGTGTTTCTCACCTTGATGTACTGATCCCCTGGCTCATGGTTAACCAGGATTTATGTTGCCCTTTCCATTTGTACAATTTTCTCTGTTATAGCAAACAAAGCCCTTCATGGCCAATTTACTTTTAAGGGCTCTCTGCACTGTGGCATCTTCTGTTCAGTATTAAAACGTTAACTCTTCTCAACTGCTCAGTCCACAAAGTCAGCCTTCAATGCCCAGCTGTCAAATCTTCAGATCTTCTCTCTTGCTGTTTAGTTTGTAGACCCTTCCTGCAAACACCTAGAAAAGCATTTCACCTTTACCCTGCAAACTGCTTGGCCGGAACACCTACAACACCATTAAATACAATGCTGACAGCACTGACTATGATGCTGACCAACCCCTCATTTTTTTGCACATTGAAAACTCCAGAATGATGTATCTAGACTAAAACTGACTTTTCCATTTAAAAAATATGTTATGTTGCAGTTTTCAAACGACCTTTCTTGAAAAGAGAAGAAAGTCAAAAATTACATGGAAAAAGCATCCCAGGGAAAAAAAAAAAAAATAAAATCAGACTTGCCAACTATGCAACTATTTTCCATAGTACTTGACAGGATTAGTCTCCCTGAAGAAGCAGAATCAAAGCATTACACTACATGACTCCCTGCAAATAAAATGAAGAAATTTAAGTAAAGAGCATGTCCAAGCATTTATTTCTATCACAGCAATGGACAGCAAGTTTCAGCACAGCCTCAACATTACAACACACGGAAACAGCGCATATAAAACTGCCAGGAGGGAGATTGCAGAACAAGTCCCTGTCAGACCATTCTCTTTACTTTTCTGTAAAACTTGCTTCCGTATCTTCTGGAATCAGAAAGAGAAGGCTGATTTCAGGCATCTGTTTTTCTTTCACAGACTTACTACTCTCACCGGCAGCAATGTGGCCTGTGAAGCCATGATTCAATCGCCTGAACGCAAGCACTGCACCAATGCGATGCCCTAAGGGTACCTGGAGATACCCAGGTGGAGCTCGCAGGTACAGCCCAGGACCCAAACGAGCTCCATCTCCTGCGGGAGCAGAGCGGGAGGTTAGGCAGAACAGCCCAACGGACCTCCAATGGCACTAACGGCACACTGACACCATCACCACGGAATTGTAGCCCAAAGGTTCTGTTTGAGAAATAAAAAAACCTCAGGAAGAGCAATTGCTACACCCTCAATGTTGGTATTGCACAATTTCACAATTTTAGAGGAGGAAAATGGAAAGAAATTCTCCTAAATTCTCAGAGATATGCGTTTCTTCAGGAGTCATGCATATTTCAGCTGATAACTAAGTATCAAATGAACTAAAACTGAGCAAAGAAACCATTTTTTCTTCATCTATCATTTATGGTAATAAAAAACCTCAAAAGGCTTAAGAAATGCTCTTACAGGGTAAAATTTTCCAAGATACTTTGGCATATTAAGTTCCATTTCAAAAAATGACTCAGGAGTATCTTTTAACGGGAATATTTTGATGAGAGTTACCTACTTAAGCCATTGAACTGCTATATAAACTGTCCTATCATCACCTAATATCCTGCCACTTCAGCCTCTGAATTTTCTCTCTGCAGAAGAAAAATGATTTTATTACGGCCACATCAATTCAGCACACTAAACTTGATTTGAGCTTCCAAATATTCAAATTTTAAACTGAGACCTGGTGTCGTTGCTCCTGAATATTTTTGCTCTTTGTATATTTTCTTTTAGGAAGGCATTTATTTGATGTGACTTAGAAATACAGAATGATTAAATTTTTTTTTTTTAGTTCTTCAACCATTACAGGAGACACTTATAGAAACATCCAACATATATTAAGTAAATCTGGCACTAACTATTTTCCTACTGGCAGCAATTTATGTTGAAAATGACATAAATTCTGTCACCAGCTGTACAGAAATTCTAAATAAACTAATTTTTGTCCTGCTAGAATGCTGATTTAACAATCAGGAGACTTTTATATTTAAACCAAATGTTTAACTTTTTTATGATGGCTGACTACTTAACCACAATTTCCAGGGCTTAACAGCAGGAGCTAAGTTAACTCATTTCCTTCTGCACTTAACAAGAACTTGGTTGGGAAAAGGCTGCCAACGCATTGCATTGCTGTGGAAAGAAAAATTCAGCAGAACAGACAAACTGCAGCCAATTGCATTGGTGGTAAACAGTCTCAGGAAAAAATTACTCTCTGAGAAAAGAAGTGAGAGACGCAGAAGAGGTGGACGAGAGAAGCTCTGAAGAAGGAACATCAGCACTGGGCACACAGGGTGGGCTTTTCACATCTCGGTGCTCTACTAGCAGATGCCAATCCCCGGTGAGTCATTCCAGTGGCCAACGCATCCAGCGGAGAAAGAGCCAGGGCTGAGCGCAGGAGGGAGAGCGCAGCCACTCCGACACTGTCAGCCACAGCAGATGCTTCGGTAATGACACCAGTAAGTCTGTGTGAGACTTTTTACTTTCACAGGAGTAGAAACAGCCGCATTTGGAATACAGCTCTCCCTTAAAAAGTAAGCTCCACTTCACAATAAACATGCTGTAATTAAACTGTTTACATTGCAACTGTTGTGATTTTGCTTCCATTAACCAAAAAGGCAACCTATACTCCAGTTATTCATATTACTCCTCGTGCTTATTCAGCATAGTAGTCACTGGAAGCCCACCAGAAAGTCAGCAGGGCCAAAAGAGAAGTACTCCAGAAAGATATGGTCTTAAGAGTACTAGACGACAAATTAAATTTCAAAAAAAGGTGACAGAAATCACCTGAAGAATTAGAAACCTGTCTGAGGTAAACTGGTAGAATGCATGGCACAGAAGCAACAGGCCTGTGAATAATGATGTTTACATGATAAGTAAGTGTCATATTCTTCTATAATGGAAAGTCACGGCTTCACTGAGAATCAAAAAGCACATGGAGAGCATTGACTTGGTCTGCACAATGTATGTGTATTTTCATAAAGGTTATGGTGAGATACTTCATCAAATGCTCTTAAAGAAAGTAAGTTTTCATAGTACAAGAAATAAAATCATCCCCTGAATTTAAAATATGACTTTCCTGCAAGGAATTACTCCTGTCTTGACTGGAATTAGAGACACCAGAATAATAACCAGGATTGAGGCAGGTGCTCTAGCAATTAAATACTTAGGGTGGATCCATGAGGTTTGCTTGCTTGCCCTGAAAATTCCCGGATCTTGGAGTAAGAGTAAAGTTCTCAGCCTCACTAGTGAGATAAGCTAAATAACTATGATTGCAGTAAGGAAGGCACACCTGCACTCTACTTGATTTTCAGCTTGACCGATACCTTTGACTCCGCAGAGGACTTGGAGGGTTAGAGAACCAGTGGCTTACGAACCTGAGCAGCAGCAATTCTAGACAGACGTTTCAAGAGAGGCTACGCAACTGTAGACTCAGCACCAGACCTGCTAACCAGACGCTGGCCTGCGAAGAACCCAGTGCAGGTGGCACCACTGACACTACAGACTTCACCACAAACAATCTGAGTGTCAGAGACTACAACGTACCGTGAAAATTTGTGCTGGTAGAGCCATCTTCCTTCAATACTTTATACATCCTACTCTTCGTAGTTCTGTGGCTCTCTCCAAAGGAACACAGATGCTTTGAGCACAGGGTCAGGCCGCAATGCACTCATCACAGAATACACAGAGAAATCCTGCTTTAACCATAATCCCGTCGGTTACCAATATATACCAAAAAGATCCATGGAAAAAAAAAAATCAAATCGTAACAGAGCACCGTGTCAGCTGGAAGCCCAAAGGATTGCAACTACAGCATTTTTTTAAAGGGCTTTCAGTTTAAGGAAAAGAAGGAACAAAAGGAAGACTATTCAGATAATCTAAGGATGAAGAAGTGAGACCAGGCTCAAAGAACAACGCAGCCATGTCAGCAATATTACAACTAGAGGCTGAACGCACTAGAGTCTATGGGGTCAGACTATCTCTGTTCCATGCATTGGCACGATGGAAGGACACATGGCCACAGCACTCCATATAAGCACTGAAAAAGCTAAGAAAGGGAAAAATGGATGTTTGTATTTTTGTAGCGAACAAAAATCCAAAGATAGAATAGGCATGTGGACCATCATCCATAGATAAGGGCCTGAAAATTTATTTCTAATACAAAGAGTGGAATGAGCAGAAAGAATGGTAGCAACAGGAATCCTTTTGTTTCTCAGGGAGATGACAAAGGATGTGAAAAATCAGCTCAAACACGACACACCTCTCTTAAACAGCACAACAATTTCTGCTGAATCTTCTCTTGGTGCCAAGTATGTCAGTACCTTACAGAGGAGTCCATGGGAATCTGATTCAATAAATTTAAAGAGTTTCTGAGCCTCATAGGATCTTATCTTGAGTAATAAATGCAAGAAGGCAGTCATTTCATGAGGACTCAACCGTACTTTTATACCGTACCAGAAACTCTAAGAAATCAATGAAAATTCAGCTTGCATATTTCAGACTAGAACATATCTCTTACTTTCTAAGCTTCATCAAACCTCAAGTAACCAGACTTCAGGATTCAAAAAACCCTTGAAACATATCAACTGAGAAATAGTGAATAGTGTGTGTGCTTCAACCTTTTTTTTTCAAAAATTATAGTTCAGTTGGCTTATCTTTTCATATTGCAAGCATGAAAAAACATCACATCTGAATATGAACTTCCTTAACTGAATTGAAATACATTTTACATTCACTCCTGTGGTTAAAATGCCTTCAACAGGTTGAAAGAATTTAGATAATTTGTTTTAGAAAGAGATAAGGGTCTGACATTTAACCCAACCCCAGGTGCATGTGGTTTCTTAAAAATGTCAAAAGGTCACATGATCTCAATGTAGAAGTCTGAAAAACAAAATCTAGCTCAGTAATTTCTAACATTTTTGTGCTATTTCAGTGAAGCTACTGAGCTAGATTTTGTTTTTCAGACTTCATACATTTTAAAAATATCAAGCATCATTTGTAGAAATATGTATTTGCAGCTTATACCGTTGTGCTTGACAATCACGTGATTTTAAATTGCCTTAAACAACTGGCATGCTCCAGCATGCATAAAACTGTAGTTACAAAGCCAAGATCAAGGTTAGGTCTCCATGGCCCCACTGGGTTAAACTGATAGATGAACCAAGCACTGTTAAGAGTTTTAAAGTTCGGAGGAACTAACCTACATGCACTTCGCATCTTTCAAGCATTCTTGCAATGCTTTCAGAGATTTTTTTTCAGTTTCACCATAAGAGTCTGTGGCTGTTAAAAACTAGATTTTTTTTATTTTTAATTCTTTAGCCTCTCCAGAATCCTTAGGGTGGAACTGAAACTACTGTCTAAAAATGTTAAAATAATACTTTAAATTTGAATTATTTTTTTTTAAAAACAACCATCTTCTTAAAAATCCAGTTCCCTCTGTATTCAACTATGATTTATGTCTAATTTAGGTAAGTTTATCTAGGCCTTAAGATCCTTCAACAAACCATTACTGCCAGATTTAGGGTCTGTTATTTAAATACACTTCCTAATACCCCAAACCAAAAAGTTCTAATGGAACTTTAAGGAAATTAACTTACCTTGCTGAGCTAAAGTGGATCTCAGCATTCCACTTTTTGACCAGATTTTCACTAGGCCATCTTCACCAACTGTAAAGTTTTCAAAGAAATCATCAACTTAAATTCAATAATAAATCTAACAAATATGGCACTTGTATCTACCTAGGAAACACTACAGATAAAGTAAGTCCAGGTCTTCTTACAGGTAAATATTGTTTATGTAGTCTTCCTAACATGCAAATAGACAGTATATCAAGGAAAAAATATTTAAGGCTGTTGTTCTGCTATTATCAACAAGCTTCTTCCTCTCCTGAAAATCCCTACAGTCTTCTTATCTGAAGCTGCTCCTGGGAAGAGAGCGTATATCACGATTTAAGTATCCCAAGTTCTGTATTTTCTATTCAGCATTGCTAGTACTTTTCATCTATTTACAGTTCAACGGCCCAGAGGCTGATTAAATGAGTCTCTGAGGAGTCTGAAGAGCGAAGAAGCAAAATTTTATGTATTAAACTGGAGGCTTCACAGTTGATAAATGGTGAAACTGAAGATAACTGAAAGCTCTGGTTGGAAGGCTTAAATTTTATAACATAACTGCATGTTACCAAGAAACTCAGTTTACTTATTAAAGATCAAGTTCTTATACACTATACAGCACAGTTATGTATGCATTAAGAACACACATTTCCTAGTGCGCTATCATATTTAAAATGTACAGCTCTGGGCAGTTAGGCCTCCCAGACTCAGTTAATGAGGAAAAAGGTGCACGTAGACGCTTAATGCCGTTCTTCCATTCAAATGTAATTTACTTACCAGATCTCAGCTTTTATATCCAGCCAATGGGGCTTTTAAGTGTTTAAAAAGTGTAAAAAAAAAAAAATTAAAAAATCTTATTTGTGCACATTTGACACTGTTGATTACTTAAAGAATATTTTAACTGATACAGTATCATCAGTGATTCACTCTTCCTCAAAGCATAGTTGCGGTATAAGAGTAGCTGATCTTCTCAGAGTACACTGTTTGGATATGGTGATGCATTCCCATACTCCCCAGAAGTGTCATGCAGTCTTTCCAAAAAAAAGAAAAAAAAAAGAGACTGAAAAGGCAATTTTTACTTTTTCTTTGGAGAAGTTCCTGAGGCAAATCTGTCTTTAAAAAGAACAATATTTTTATCCCTCTGGGATTTCAGAGGAACATGCCAGACAGAGTTCCTTGAAGCAGCATTTTAGAGTCAGACTCAGTCTGGAAACAAGCAGATCCAAAATTATCTTCAGTACTTCTGGACTGAGTTGGAATTTCTCCAAAGAAATCAGCTGTGTTAGATCAACAGGAGGCTGCAGAAAATTCTGACACCAACAGAAATCCCATAGAGAAGTCTATCACAGGAAGCTTAATTAGCTTCCCCTTAACATCAAAATAGAAGTTTTTGACAAAAATGCCGAAAGCAACTAATTACCAAAAGATTTGGGACAAAAAAAGACCTGTCGAGATGCAGACACTGGGAGATCACTCTCCCAGCCTCAACAGAGATGAGAGTTACACTGCAGCTGGATCTGCGCCACTCCTGAAAATTAAGACAGACAAGCGCAGGAACATTCAAGATGTTCATGAGGCCTCCTCAGTAAACTTTGCTGGCTAAAAAAGCCCAAATGTCATGTGCAGGGACATAAATGTACCAATTTAGCAACCCTTTTTTGTAAGATACGGAAAAAACCCCACCATCCCAAATTTTCTCCTTTATGAAGTACAGAATATCCACAAAAACATCTAAGCACTCTGTTAAAAACACTTACTTTGAAGTAAATAGGATCCCTAAAAATAACCTAATAAATAGGATCCCTAAAAAAGAGAAATGTTTTTGCAAGCTTTTCTGTTAATTAAAATAGACACCATTCTTCTAAAACAGCATTAATCAAATAGTGCAAAACTAACTTCTATTAAATAAGGTGATAATAACCCCAGGGACAATGAAGACACAAAAAAGTAACTTCTTATAGCTAACTTCATTTACACTATTGATTTTGTGTTTCCATTTCCCCTCGTCTCATGAGAATTTCAAGCTAGACCAGTGTGTGAACACTTAATAGACTCAGTTTTATTCATTCAAATTCAATGTAACTACAGCATGAAGTATGGAATTTAGGATTACATCTTCTAAACATATGTCAAGGATTAAATTATTTTTCCAAAACATTCTATTCTCTTTATCCCATAAAGTACTCACATGTCACACATTTTATTAAAAGCACTTACTTTTCATAAATTTTAATACTACATTTTTTTTCCCCTGGATTTCATCATGACTTGTCAACTTTGTATATTAAAAAACCAAAAGGCTTTATTTTGAAAGAGCTCTTCTGCTCTTTTGATTTTCAAAGCACTTTGTTACTTTCAGAACGCTTACCTGTAACCAGTGCTGTTCCTTCGTAATTCCACCTTCCTGCGAGTACAGCTCCACAGTGTGCTTCTACGCTTTTCTCTACTCTTCCTAACTTTGAAATCAAGTGGAACTTTCCTAAACAAAAAGGTCAAGATACAAATAGTGTCTCTCATTTTGTCAGTCGGCATTTACGACTGTAATGGTGTCATCTTCTGTTAAAAATGCACACAGAAAACAGGACAAGAAACCACCACCAACAAAAGAACAAAACCTGCAACTGTGTTGTTCACAGCTGTGATTAGCCCAAACAAATGAGCTCTTGCAGAAGAACTACTTGTAAATTCGCTGTGATGTTGGGTTTTTTTTCTTTTTGGTATGTCTAATCTTTGTTTTGCCGATTCGTTTTTCTTGTGTCCCTCTCAAGTTTCTGTGTTTCTCTGGGGACACAACTGCCTGATGTTATTTCATTGCCTGAAAGCTAACAGAGATACATACACTGCAGCCCAGCAGAGTCCTCCTGTTGTTTTTTTGAAGTTCTGAAAAATCACTCAACACCAAAAGGATAACGGAAAACCTAGAACAATCTGACCATCGGCGAGCATGCTGCCCTGAGGAAGTATTACTGCTTGCATTATGGAGCTGTTATGGAAATTCACAGCGGCCAAAAACAAAGCTATTAATGATTTCAACAGAAGCATGAGGAAGTCTTTCTTTCCAAATGAGGGATGTTGCTTAAATCCAGGAAGATCAAATTTAAACTGGACCAAAGAGCAGACAAAGGACGACTTGGAGACATGTGGCAGAACAAACGCATGGCTTAGAACAGTTCAGTGATTCAAATTAACTACTTTCAAACCAAAATTCTTTTAAAATGATATTATTTAATCTGCCAGACAGCAAGCCACTACAAGCAATTTCCAGAGTGACCAGAACCCTTGGAGATGAACACTGCACAGATACCTCACACTAAGTGTGTGCAAATGCTCCACCACTTCAGATGCGGTCATTTTTCCATTAATAACACCCTGCTCAGGAATATGAATTGTAAAACAGGCCATACCTGATGAGCCAGAAACTAAATACCTATTTCAACAAAGTATCACACTACCAAGACCAATATGTGTTTGCGGGTGAAAACAGAGTTAATGATGAACTGTGCAGACGGTAAAAATGCGTGGCACCACTGCACGAAACACCATCCCAGTAGCCAAGACAGCAAAAATGAGGTGGCCTGCACTGCCAGAAGCTTGAAACAATTTTTATTGTGTTCCGGTTTCCCATGCTTTACTTCGCATTTCAATTAAAAAAAAAGACAAACAAAAAGCACCCCCCCCCCCAAAATACAAAGCCAGACTCAAAGCAAAGAAGAGGCACTCTGGTAGATCTGGCAGTAAATCACCATGAAAACATCCATCAGAGCTCTCCACAGTATCATTCAAATTAATATAATCACACTTTGACTTTGTTTTACTTCAAAGTACATAAACAAAAAGGCACAATCATCCGGCCAAATCTCTGCCAATGCAAGATTTCCAAGCAAATTTTAACACTGAAGAAAAAGAAAGGTTTGTATAAATCAATTTATTTGAACACTTTCTTAAATATCATACACAACTATATATTTTTGCTTTTCTTTATCACTTGTATTCATACCTACCAGAGTACTCCGAATAGCTAGTTAATCCCTTATTTTTTCTTAATTCATAGAACTAATATTATTACTAAGACCACTTCTTCCTCATTCAGTTAATTTTTAGCTTCCTAACATTTTCAGTACTGGTATTCTGGTATTATGATACTTCAGAATTATAACATATATTTTATATAATTAATGCGTCATTTTATAGAACACGTCTCGGGTCTGAGATTCTCATTTTTCGTGTATAAGCAGTAACTGGATTCACAGGAATTCAATGGTTAAATGCTATTTTCTCCAATAAAATTGTCAAAATGACATTTTCTGGTTTCAAAATAATACGTTAAAACCATGTTTTATTTTTTGATCACCTATCTTTTTCGTGGCATAGTGTACTTGTTCAATCTGTAGCCAAGGCCTTTTTCATTGCAGAATACTTAAACCTAATCTGATCACCGGACTGTGAGTATTCTCATGCCATCACCTGCAGTATGCACTGTTCAGGGGCTGAGCAGTTCATAGCCATTATGAACGTATTTCACTAAATTGCCTTGCAAAAAATAAAAAAAACCCAACAACACCGGATACTGGAAGTTGCTTGATGCCTGGAGTTAGATCTCTGTGTATGTTAGTTCCTGATTTGCAATCTGCAACACTGAGAATTAGTTTTTTTAAGAATATAAAGAATTCTATGGCGTTTTATATATTGAAACAATAGCTTCCACTGACCCAGGTAAGACCCCAATACTTCTGTAAGCAAACCCCTCCACACACAAGAGAAAAAAATATGTTAAAACGAGAAGACAGCTGGCAAGCAACTGCGTACTTCGGTTAGGTCACGTTACCAGGAAAGCAATGGGCTATGTCACAGAGTACAGGATAAATTCCTGTTATAAAGGGAAACATTCAACTCCATTTACCAATCTTTTGCATCCTTTCCCACTCCACAAGCTCTTACTTCTTTCACAAGGCATCTTTCCAACAGTGAAACACAGCAAACTGTAGCCCAGCAGGAAAGAATATGGTTTCATATAAAAGCAGGTCTACCTTAGGCACTATAAGAGAATTCATCTGGAAAAAACATGATCATGCATTCAAAAACTGTATCACAACACTTCTGTGGAACAGGGCCAAATCAAGTCTTCATGGATATCATCTTTACTTCTGCAATTTCTTTACTTTTCCTACATATGAATTTACAGCTGATGACAGTCAAACGATGTGACTCATTAGATGCTGTTTTTTTCATTGCGTTCACCCATCGAGGTTGCTCCAAAAACAACGTTTCGATGGATTTCTCTGCCTTCTGTTCTCTGGCTTAACATTGAGGTAGTAGTGGCTTTTGAATTAGAACTTACTGCCTCATACACAATTAAGAAAGGGAAAATTTTAGCTCTATGCCTGGAGTAGATAGAAGTGATTCAACTTCATCTTACTTTACGTCTCAGATTTGTAAAATACAGTTCCCTTATTTTTATTAAGTACTGAAGCCAGAAGCCGTCCTCAATCTTAAAGTGACCCTCTAGTTTTGGAGGAATTTCAAGTGGCAGATTAGCAGCCTATTCAAATACCAAATATAAAACATGTATGTTTTGTTCATTACTTTTCATAGACTCCTAAATGTTGACCTAATGTAAAATTATTGATATCGCAAAAAGTTGAAGAAAATCCATCTATTCACTTATGATTTGTGTTTAATAAGCAGTTTAAAGCTGAACATATTCTTTATTTTTGTAAAGAAGCAGCAACAAGATCAACATAAGTAAGAAGCAGAAGAACAGTATCCCACAAGAGATGCAACTCAGAAGAAAACCCAAGAGGATTAATATTACATTTGCTCTAATTTCACAAACATCTGGAGTTCAACCAGGAATTCATGCAACCCTGTAAAGGCATTATACTCCTTTTCCATTGGATTCAGCAGATTTCTAGGAATCCTTATCACAGAGATGAATTAGCTGTTGCAGGAAAATCACAGGCTTGACACGTAAGGCATGCTATACAAGTATTAGTTAAACAGAATTTTAAAAGTAAGCTTTTTAGAAAATAGCAATCGAGCAAGAAAACTTCTTCATGTGCTTTTACAATGCAGTAATTTACTTGCATATGCAAAACCAAAATATTTACAAGATAAGCTCCCTTTATTGGAAGTGCTAAGTTACACCAGGAGATAAAGACTTGGAAATTTTCTACATTAAGTTTTTATCTCAATTTATTCTTTCACAAATTAGGTTAGCACTGGTTTGTATTTTGATTTCACTAAAAAAAACCCAGAAAACGGTGATTTTTTGGCAAATGCACCTCATGAACAGTTTTCCAGAAATTGCATACTCAGGATGAGTTTACTGATCAATGCTAAGAGCTCATCCCTTAGTCCCTTTTCTCAGGGAACAGAACTTAAAGGAAAAAACAGTTTTCTAGGTTAGTTTCTTCATGAAGTTTTGTTTACATGTAGCACTCTATAAACCTACAAACTAATTGGGATTTACTCTGTTCACTTAAACACGAATAACACCCTATCTTCCTTCCGCAATGCCATTCAGCGAGACCTGGACAGGCTGGAGAGTTGGGCACAGAGGAACCTGATGAAATTCAACAAGGGCAAGGGCAGGGTCCTGCAACTGGGGAGGAACAACCCCAGGCACCATTACAGGCTGGGGCGGACCTGCTGGAGAGCAGCTCTGCGGAGAGGGACCTGGGAGTGCTGGTGGGTGACAAGGTGACCATGAGCCAGCAGTGTGCCCTGGTTGCCAAGAAAGCCAATGGTCTCCTAGGGTGCATTAGGAGGACTGTGGCCAGCAGGTCGAGGGAGGTTCTCCTCCCCCTCTGCAGTACTGCGTCCAGTGCTGGGCTCCCCAGTTCAAGAAAGATGAGGAGTTACTGGAGAGAGTCCAGCGCAGGGCTATGAGGATGATGAGGGGACTGGAGCATCTCTCCTGTGAGGAAAGGCTGAGGGAGCTGGGCTTGTTCAGCCTGGAGAAGAGAAGGCTGAGAGGGGACCTTAGAAATGCCTCTAAATATCTGCAGGGTGGGGGTCAGGAGGATGGGGCCAGACTCTTTCCAGTGGTGCCCAGCGACAGGACAAGGGGCACTGGGCACAAACTGAAGCAGAGGAAGTTCCAGCTGAACCTGAGGAAGAACTTCTTCCCTCTGAGGGTGACGGAGCCCTGGCCCAGGCTGCCCAGGGAGGCTGTGGAGTCTCCTTCTCTGGAGATATTCCAGCCCCGCCTGGACGCGGTGCTGTGCAGCCTGCTCTGGGTGACCCTGCTTCAGCAGGGGTTTGGGCTGGGTGACCCCCAGAGGTCCCTGCCAACCCCAACCATGCTGGGATTCTGTGATTCTATGTTATTTTCCTAGTGCAGAGTATCTACTGTTCTGTTACAAGCAGACAGCATTTAGCTTTCACAGCGATTCATGCAGCAAAGCTCGGTTCTGCTTTGCACTGTGCTATGGCAGCAAAACAGGAGCATTCAAATTAAGTGCAGGAATAGCAATAAAGGCCCCAGATGTCCAGAAGGAATGCAAGGGCTGAATACAAACTCGACTCACTGAACAATGCAAAATTATCTAACGAGCCATTACTGGCTTGAAGAACTAAAGGATGTGTCATCTTTGGAAAGGAGGGAAGTTAGTGGATTGTCATCAGACAAATCCACACCTATCCCAGCTACAACACCATTAAGATGATAAGCCTGAGGGATGTAGGGAGAACCCAAAATTTGAAGGGCTTACACATTTGTAAATAGGAAAAAAAAATAAAAAACAAAACTACAAAACACCCCACTGCAATAAAGTTGGCAAAGATAGCCACAACAGTTTCTGCTCCATGCAAGCAAGAAACAGCTGCGTTAAAAGAAAGCGAAAGTTAATCAAGCTGATCTCCAAAAGTGCATCTGAATTCTATCAGAGCTATAACTACGTGATCATTTACATGTTTCAGAGAATTTTTTTCTCATGTGGTAATCTAATTTTTTTTTTATTGATATGGAGGAGATGGCATTTTTCCTGACCTTCCTCTCACTGTGCCTTGAAGCTGAAATCTTTACAAAGCACTTCAACATTATCTAGAATCCTTGGATGATACCTTTAGGTTAGACAAAAAAAAACTTTGGTAAAAGTTACAAGCAAATGAACACAAAAGTCTTCTCGAGGAAAATGAAGATCAACGTTAAGGGACTGGTTTAAAATTTGTTGGTCACACACAAGTAAAATCTTGTGCAGCAACAAAAATCACCTGCTAAGCTGCAAGAACCCCTCCCTTTAAATCTCTGCCATTGACTTCTGTCTCTTACAGTAATCCAACTTCTAGTACTTAACCGATCGCCTTGCAAAGGTCCTAATGCATCCTGGAAAAGATTCTGGGGCCCACCTACACATGGTGTTATTCATGAATCTTTATTCCTAAACTGTAGCTCTTTGTTGCAGTTTCAGTTAATGCACTTCAAGCAGAAGGGCAAGCTCTTGTACCTACTAGGCATTACACTTGAGAACTGATATTCTTACCCAAATTTGCATCAGGTTCACATATAGACTAAAGTATTTCCGAATGTACAGCTCCTGCATCATGCTAATTTTTGAACACTTCTGAAAAAAAATCAACTTTCAACCTCTTTAAACACATCTATGAATACGATCTATTCTTCCTTACATATCTTAGTGATATAAAACCAGAGAAAAATGAGAGAGAAAAATTGCAGAGCAGAGTTTTAAGTCATCTTTTCCATGAAGGTAGTAGTAGCCCTCGTATATTTCTTCAATCGACTGTCAAAGCATTTTTCAAGCAGAACATGAAATACTAGCATTCTATTTTCGTAACACTGGAAAATCGAATAAATTAACAAGACACCTGACTTACTCAAGTCATTCTGTTGCTCACTATTTACACATACAATTTAGAGCTTTACAGAAACAGGACGTTAGAAATACAAATGTGAAAACTGAGAAAGAAAAAGAAAGGGGAAGAAAATAAGGGATTAAGAGCACCGGTTGACCTACTGAAATCCCTCTATCCCATGTTTAACATTGAAAGGAAAAGAACACAAATCCCACAGAAATCAGCTCACTTAATCATTGGCTGACTTTCTGAAGAACATCTTTGTTTAGGTAAACCCCATTCCCCCAAAACCTAATAATATAATGCATGCAAATACTAATTGATTCAAATTAATCTTCCTTTCAGCTTTCACAAAAACTTCCATTTCCACCTTAATAGCTCTACCAGCAATACTTCGTAAGACCCAGCTGCCTAAATTCATAGTAAAACTCAGCACCAAGTATTGCAAAAATTACGACCCTACTTGGTCAAACCTCTCATCTTTCCCTCCCCCTGTGCATCTAGGAAGCAGCAGGGAGCCAAAAGAAGTCCTCCTTTGCTTCCCTAAGTTCAGCGCGTTTATTCCTTAGGAAGTACTGAATGCCTTGAAGAAATCTTGGCCTCCACTCTGTGAACTGAACTCTCAGCCCTCCTAATTTTTAAGTGCAACTATGGTCAAAAGTCAGAGAAATCTCCAACATTTCATGCAAGGAATGAACTTCTTCTACCTTCTCCAAATACATATTACCTCCCTTTATCAGTACAGGAAACCACACCAGCTCCAGACTGCTAATGTCAAGTAATAAACCTTCTGTTCCCAATCTAGTTCACGGTCAAGCCAGCCAAAAGCCTACACCAAGCTCCTCTCACCGAAGAACACATGCTAGACCCACAAATTCAAGGTTCTGGCCAAAATACGGGCAGAAGTTAGCTGGAAATTCTCCATCAGTCCCATTAAAACTATCACTTGGTCCCTGTGAAAGCTACCAACAGGGTGATGGGCAGATGGCCATTATTATCCTGCTGGAAACTCTCTACAACAATTGACCAGGATTTGTTCTGCCCGAAAAAGCTGGCAGAGATTGAGCAGTGTATCGCTTTCAGTTCAGCGTTGAGAAAATCCCACCACTACCCTGTAGAAATACAGCTTTACCACCAAGATCTTTGACCACTAACAAAAGAATGAAAACTCAGTTTAGCATGTTGATGCAACCTGCTTCTTTGTGGCACATAAATACTACCACCAGCAAAACAGTTTCATTTACTTACTCTGGAACCTTAAACAGCATTATCAACTGATTAAAATACAAAGGTATAGAAAGTTAGCATCCGTGTTAAGGACTGTCCAGCTTCTGCAAGGAAGTCATAGAGTAGAGTAGAATATTTCAGTTGGAAGCGACCTACAATGATCCAACTGCCTGACCAATTCAGGGTTGAATAAAGTTAAAGCATGGTATAAGCGCATCGCCCAAACGCCTCTTAAACACTAACAGACATGAGATGCCGACCACCTCTCCAGGAATCCTGTTTCAGCATTTGACCGCCCTCTCGGTAAAGAAATGCTTCCTCGTGTCCAGCCTAAAGCTCCCCTGGTGTAGTTTTGAACCGTTTCCACGCGTTCTGTCACTGGATCCCAGGGAGAAGAGATCAGCTCCTCCCTCTCCACGTCCCCTCCTCAGGAAGCTGTAGAGAGCTCTTCCAAGTCACAGGTATGCCAAGTTCTCGGATGTAACATGTGAAACTATCAGAAATCATTCACAAACTAACACACCAGACCCATCAGCAGGCCCTTGCCAGTGGACTGTCGGTGAGGCAGTCGCAGTCTACACCAAGGGCTTGTTTCTTAGCAGAGCTTTTAAGCCAACATAATTTTTATAACAAGGTCAATGTAATCCAGCACATCTCATAAAGGATCAACCCCTTTTTAAAACTGGTAGGTTCAGGAAGAAACACTCATCAGAACTACAGGGTTTCCACACGGTAGTTTTTTTGTAACAGAAACAAAGGGGAGGGGTGTTAAAAAAATTTATTTTTTACCATTATTTTTCATATTTTGATCAAATGGAGAATTAGATCCAGAAGAAGAGAGCCCACATGTTTTTCCTTAAAGAAAAGGGATGAGGAAAGAAAAGGAAGGGGAAACATGCACAGAAAATTCCTGATGGCATGAAACATAATTCCCATTACAGTACTGAGAAGAAAGGAGACAAAGTCTGACCTGAACTGTATGGGCTGCTTCATAATAAATGTAAAATACTAATGAAAGTAATTACCTAAGATTCCTTCACTGAACTGAGGATGCGAGTATATCGACCTTCATGCAGGAAGAAAAATTTGACTGTGTGCAAGTCGGGAAAAATCAACGCCTAGTCTCTTTGGAGAGGAAGAGAAGAAACCCCAAGCAATCATCAAATCGTCTTGCTCCAACCTCCATTCCACAAAACAGAACCCACACACTGGAATACAGCAGCTTCCATATCAGATCATCTGTTCTAGTATTACTAGACTACTGCACAGGACAAACAGCAGCAGACTGGATATACGTAGGTATATATACACCTGCCGGTATAGTGGACATATATACTGGTCCTACACCTCTGACAACAGCAGACTAGATGCGTCAGAGGGATATTCAAGACTCTGTAGAAGCCAGATACAAGACATGCTCTTGTAACATGTCCATGAAATGGACTACGTTGATATTAAACATCATGGTTAAGCAATTCCAGTAACTTGGTCATCTTCAGTTTCCATAACTGTAAGCGACATAGTATCTATGTAGGCTTTGCTATATCTGCGCTGCAAGCTACTTCTTTCCGGATTAAAAACGATGGTAGAAACTGACCTTCTATAAAAAAAAATATATATATATCTACTGTCAGAGGCACGTTTGATAATCTTGTATCAGAGGAAATTATAGTAATACAATGTATTCAATTTGAAACACCCATTAATTTTACTCCAGTGCAAGTGTACAGGTATTTGAAAATGCTTTATTGCAGACTATTCAACGGCAAGTAATTTCTCATGTATTGGAGTGCTATAAGCACAAAGTGGTATGAAATTATAAATATATTAAATTGACTTACCATCAGAACTTGTTAGAACAAAGCTCTCGGCGTGGGACTGCTTCTTCCCACCTATACTTCTAGGAAGCCAGTGAAGGTCTATGGGATAAATATCATCCGGAAGTTTCACCACTCGAGTAGTCTCACTAGTTAAAAGGTTCCATTTCATAATTTGGTGATCATCACTGCAGGAATATAGCTCGTCAGCTGTAGTCCATCCCACGCAGCTAACTAATTCTTTATGTTTAATTAAATTAAGGAAGTCTGAAAATTTTATTTTTTTAAAAATAAGCTTACAAAATACCGCAAGGAGCAGTACAGAAAGATTATTTTCATAAGATTCCATGGAATGTTTTACACAAAGAAAACACGATTCTTCATTTTTTCTTTGCTCTTTTGCTTCAAGAAAAGAGCTGGTAGAAATTCAGCAAAAAAAATAAAGCAAGCTGTGTTGCGTAAAAATGTAATTCTTATCCTGATGTGTATTTATTGAAACACAGCTGAAATGTTGGGTTACACCTCTAAAAGGGTGTTAGTGCACAATGCAAGTGCAAAACACCCAACCATTTTTCAGATGTGTCAGGTTATTAACACCACATCATATATAAGTTGTTGACATAATTTATTAGCAGGAGAATTACAATTCTGTTTACATCTGTTCCATGCACATCTTATAACAAGCAAGTAGATATATCACTACTTCTATTTACTCTCTGGGAAAGCTTTTAACTTATCACTATAAACAAGAAATGAAAGAAAAACTCAAAACTTTCTACCAAAACATTGATAACTTCCAAAGGGAAGGCATTACTCTAAGCGTGTTCAACATGTCTTAAAATGTTGCCGTTAAAGGCTGCATTGAATGGTGAAGAAAAAGGGAAAAAAAAAGCCACCTGCAATTTACAAATATTTTACTATGACACTTATGATACAGAAATCCTACGACACTTATGATAAACAAATCCTTTCTGGAAAAAAGTCTAATAACACGCTTTTCTACATTTTATTCTGAGACAAAGGATATGTTTTGGTTCCTTTAAAAGTGAAGTCTTCAGTCTCATTTCAGTTGTCCAGATACAGCATTAAAAAAAGATATGTAGGTACGTTACAACTGTAATAAAACAAACACATATATAAGCAGCGAAAATTAAAAAGGAAGACACTAACAGCAAAATAAAAAGTTTCGAAATAAGTAATATTGCATCGGTACTGTGGCAAAACAAGCACCAAAACAGCCCTTAGTTTTAAGGGAACTCTGTTTGTACAGTACCCAACTCCATATTTATCTGATTGCTGAGTATAAACAACTGGACAATTTAACGAACAAGCGATGCTAGCAACATTTTGCTGAAACATTACAGGTTGACACACTGAAGTTCTCTTGTGCTGACAAACAGCCAGGAAGGTAGCAAGGGAAAACCCGGAATGGCAAACTTTTCACGGAACTTAATGCTTGGCACGAGCACTGTGAGAAAATTTCGAGGAAAAAGCCGTATTATGAAAATGATCCTGCCGTGACAAATGATACGAGGTCCTAGTCCTTCATCCACCCCTGCGTCCATGACACTACTGCAACACAGTAATTCCACGAGCAGTTCAACGGGGTCCCACCCTCTCATCCACTCCCCTCTGGTGACAGCAAACGCCGTTTGGTGTCTGTGCCTGGACAGGGCAGAGGCGCTGATCCAGGTTACAACTTCTTTGTCCTTCAGCATGGAAAGAAGTGAGAGCAAGAGGGTGGGAGCAGATGGTACACTCTGAGCAGAGCACGATGATGCACAACGTGGCCTTCTGATCTTCTTGGAATTTTTTCACCAGAAAAGTGGCTATGTCAAACAGTTACTATACAGAATTTAAGGAGCATTAAAAGAATAATAGTCCTAAAACATAACTTTCTGTGTGTAAAGAATAAGTTATTTTCAACCCTACTTTACATTAATTGGTAAACACACAACAGTTACTATTATTTGTATCTCTCATACATTCTTGAATGTCTAATTTCCTTCTCCTACCCTTACCCAAAACCTGCATAGGGAGTCTCATCATCAAGGCATTTAAAAGGGGGCTAAGTTTGTACTAAACTTTTAAAGTAGCCTTTTAATCATGTTCTTGACTTCTGTATGGTGGCAACGCCGTTCTTCAGCACCTGCATGTACCTGCTGAGCACACGCTGCAACACTTTCTGCTCATCACTTGCCGGGCTGGTCTCTGTGCCACAAATTCTAAAACTAAATACCCCGACATAAACCACAAGATTTGTATACAGCAAAGAAACAGCACAGAGTAAAATACTACTAAAGTTTTATCCTCCACTTCAGCATAAGCACCTCTCCTGCTTAACGGAACACCTCACCTTCATTTGGATGCACGGATCTGACCCGCTTCTGTTTCCTGGGCACACCACACCTCGCTAAAAGCACCTTTCCCGTTGCTGCTGGGTAGTTTTTAATTGTTCATTTCTCACTTGGCGTTTCAGCAGGCACATCGCTATCGGCAACTTCCAGCTCGCGCTCCCTCCCTACTCCTGCTACATGGAATTCACAGAATCACAGAATCACAGAATGTTCGGGGTTGGAAGGACCTCTGTGGGTCACCCAGCCCAACCCCCTGCCAAAGCAGGGTCACCCAGAGCAGGCTGCATAGCACCGTGTCCAGGCGGGGCTGGAATATCTCCAGAGAAGGAGACTCCACAGCCTCCCTGGGCAGCCTGGGCCAGGGCTC